TAGTTCTTAAATGTTTCGTATTAGTAAATTCCACAAAATGTTTCTCCTCAGAAGGTTTGTGGGGAAAAAATAATGAAAACTTGAAATGAAACAATATCTGGACTATTTATCTCCTGGGTTGGTGACTATATTACCAGTTTTATATACAATACCCCCCAAAAGAACTTTTTGGAGCTTAGTATATATTTTTGCCAAGGATAAAAAACTCCAGCTTCACTGCTACATTTCTTTCTTATTGCCTCTCTGTCTTTGTTATCTTTATTTATGAAGATTTTTGTTCTATAACTTTTTGTTTTTTGTGAATGAATAGCTTAATAGGGCATCATAAACTTGAAAATATTTTTTAAACATTTTTTATTGATTATGCCATTACATTTGTTCTAATCCCCCCTCCTTTCCCCTCCACCCTGCACACCCCTCTCCCACCATTCCCCCCTTTAGTTCATGAACACGTGTCTCAAGTTCTTTAGATTCTGTATTTCCCCTACTATTCTTGCCCTCCCCCCTATCTATTTTCTACCTACTGTCTATGCTACTTATTTTCTGTACCTTCTCCCCACTTCCCCTCCTCCCACTCCACTGTTGCTAACCCTCCATGTGATCTTCATTTCTATGGTTCACTCCTGATCTAGCTGTCCTCTTAGTTTGCTTTTGTTTTAGGTGTGGTTGTTGATAACTGTGAATTTGCTGTCCTTTCACTGTTCATCTTTTTTTTTTATCTTCTTTTTCTTAGGTAAGTCCCTTTAACATTTCATATAATAAGGGCTTGGTGATGATGAAATCCTTGAATTTGGTCTTATCTGAGAAGCGCTTTATCTGTCCTTCCATTCTAAATGAAAACTTTGCCGGATAGAGCAATCTTGGTTGTAGGTCTTTGGTTTTCATGACTTGGAATACCTCTTTCCAGCCCCTTCTTGCCTGTAAGGCCTCTTTTGAGAAATCCAGCTGACAGTCTGATGGGAACTCTCCTTTGTAGGTGACTGTCCCCTTATCTCTTGCTGCTTCTAGGATTCTCTCCTTCATTTTAATCTTGGCTAATGTAATGATGATGTGCCTTGGTGTGTTTCTTCTTGGGTCCAACTTCTTTGGGACTCTCTGAGCTTCCTGGATTTCCTGGAAGTCTATTTCCTTTGCCAGATTGGGGAAATTCTCTTTTATTATTTGTTCAAATAGGGTTTCCACTCGTGAAAGTTCCTCTTCCCCTCCTGGTACCCCGATAATTCAAATGTTGGAACATTTAAAGATGTCCTGGAGGTTCCTAAGCCTCTCCTCATTTTTTTGAATTCTCGTTTCTTTCTTCTTTTCTGTTTGGTCATTTTTCCCTTCCTTCTGGTCTACTCCCTTGATGTGAGTCCCAATTTCCTTTCCATTACTGTTGGTTTCCTGTGCATTACCATTTATTTCAATTAGTTTAGCTTTCATATGTTTCTCTAATTTGTGACCATAATCAACCAGTTCTGTGAGCATCCTGATTACCAGTGTTTTAAACTGTGCATCTGAAAGTTTGGCTATTTCTTCATCACTTAGATTTATCGGCTCTGGAGCTCTGAGTTGTTCTTGAGCCATTTTTGGTCTGTTCGTGCCCATTAAGTATGAAAAGCGGAGCCTTAGTTGTTTACCAGGACGGGGCAACTTAGGTCACTGGTTTGTGACGCTGTATGTGGGGGCGGGGTCAGAGAGGAAGCAATGGCGGTCCTCTCTGCTCGCCAGTCTGTCCCACTGCCCCGGCCTGTTTATCAGAGCGGAAATGTGCGAGCCCACTGCCCTGCACCGTGAGGTCTCAATGCTCGCGTCTTCACTGGTTTATCTGCATGCAAATGCTCTACCGACCACAGACAGCCAGTTGCGCCTTTTCCCTGTGTCCGCCCATAGCTAGCCCGCAACTCGGATCTGCGCCTTCGGCTGCTTGCGCATCACCCGTTCGGGGATCTTTTTTGCCAACCTGCTCCGCTGCTGGCTTCGCTCCTCTTACCGGTTTAGCTGAGCATTTCCTTGTCTTTGGACTCCATATTGTCGATTTTCTGTGTGGTTTGATTGTGTTTATTCTTGTTAAAACTTTGTCTTTAGATTTGGTTGTGCAAGGACGCAAGGTGTTTCCACCTACGTCTCCATCTTGGCGGAAGTCTCTGAAAATATTTTTTAAAGATTTTATTTATTTATTTTCACACAGGGGAAGTGAGGGAGAAAGAGGGAGAGAAACATCAATGTGTGGTTGCCTCTCAAGAGCCCTCTACTAGGGACCTGGCCTGCAACCCAGGCATGTGCCCCGACTGGGAATCAAACCAGCGACACTTCGGTTTTTGGGCCTGTGCTCAATCCACTGAGCCACACCAACCAGGGCTAAACTTGAAAATTCGTATAAAACATTTCTCCTAGATTTAAATAACATCTGCTTTGCAGTATATGCAATTTCATTTTATTTTTGAATAGAGACACAAAGGATAGTTGTCTTTTTAGAGGCTGGAGGGAATTCTTACAAAAACTGGGGCAAGTGAATAGATCTCTTAGGTCCATGGGTATTCATTCATGCCCCATGGAGGGTCTCTGATCCAAACTATGCCTCTCCTCTATTAACCCCCATGGCCGTAAAAAATCTAGTTTTAGAATTTAACTTATACTTGTCTATCCAAGTAATAATGTTAAACTTTCCCCCTTTATGGTTCCCCTGAGAGAAAAATAACAATAAACTAGAGCACTGGCGGAGGAAAACAAATGATCACATAGCTTTACCTATGTTGAGTCAGCAACAAACAACAGTTTGCACATAAATACAGGGGGGTTTTATTAGCTACACAGCTTACTAGAATTAAAAATATGGTTGCTGCATTATAGAAATGTTTAAATGGCAAATACCAAGGGAATGTGTGTGTATGTATACACATGTGCATACACAAAAGTTTTTGAAAATGTTCTGTAGAATACTAGAGTATCACCAATATTTTCATATTTGGATTGTTTATCTTGCATTTCTTAGTCAACCTACGTGTTAAAAGAGAGCTTAATTACTGAGTTTTCTTAAAGAGATGTCGTCAGTAGCTGTCAGTAATCCTGACTCTAAAAATTTATAAAATCTAATTGAAATACTTGTTTCTATATATGACCAATATTTCACAATACATCTCTGTGACTACTTACTATACAGACTAATAAAGAATATTTAAACCTAGTTATCCTATAAAGCAACAATATGCATTTATTCTAGCTAAAGAATAATGTTCAGAAATGTGTGTTTTCAAGGATTCTTAGACTGATAGGAGTCAATATTTGTAGGTTGGACACCACTTGGGCTTTTTTTTGCCCATCAGGCAAATTTGAAGTGTTTGTGTATCATTTTTTGGTGTTAAGGTGGTTAATCTTTCTTCTGTAAGATGGTTAATATAAACATGCTGCTCTGAGACACTTTAAAATAACATAAGCTACCTATGAATAGGAAATAGGAGTGATTATGTGCAAGGATTCATCTTCAATGACAGGCACGCTCATAACAGTTCCTAAGATAGTAACTAGCACATTTATTTGTTGCAAGAATAAATAAATGGATGTTCAAAACTTTGATTTACTAGTATAAATAGAAAACCAATTATAAGGATTTTTTAAATATAGTAATTGTGAAAATGAAAACATTTACAGAGAATTTAATAGATACCAACGTAGTAATGTGCTATTCATCTGATATTGTTGGAAATAGGTGGTCCCAAATATTCAGTGGATTTTCCAAATAAATGAATACATTACCTTAAGGGCCCCAAATTTTTAATATAACATATTTTTTGCTGATGTCCTTCATATATTTAACCCAGATAATTAGACAAAGTACATTAACACAATTCAGTATTTTTAATGACTCAAAGTCACCAGAAATATCAAAATTCAAAGCTGTAGAAGAGGTCATACAGTAAAAACACTTTATTCAAAAAATAGAAATCAGATTCTTTATATTGTAAATCATTAATTCATTGTGCTCATCATTTAACCTACGATTAGCAAATATTTACACAGAGTGAAAAGCAAGAAAGATAGAAAAAAGACAGAAAGCAAAGAGGAAGAAAGAAAAAGAAAGAAAGAAAAAGGAGAAGGAAGGAAGGAAGGAAGGAAGGAAGGAAGGAAGGAAGGAAGGAAGGAAGGAAGGAAGAGAAAGAAGGAAGAAAGGAAGGAAGGAAAGAAAGAAGGAAGAAAGAAAGAAAGAAGGAAAGAAAGAAAGAAAGAAAGAAAGAAAGAAAGAAAGAAAGAAAGAAAGAAAGAAAGAAAGAAAGGAAGAAAGAAAGAAAGAAAGAAAGAAAGAAAGGAAGAAAGGAAGAAAGGAAGAAAGGAAGAAAGGAAGAAAGGAAGAAAGGAAGAAAGGGAGGAAGAAAGAGAGGGAGGAAGAAGGAATGGAGGGATGAAGGTAGGGAAGGCAGGAGGGGGGAAGAAAGGTGGGAGGAAGGAAGGAAGGAAGGCAAAGAAAGAGGAGAGAAAATATACTACACCATTTGAAATTTCTGAGATATAAAGGGATATTTTTTCTGTTCAATCTGCTTGTCCACCCTTTGACATAGACATTAATGTCCGAACTCTGCAAAGGAAAATATTGAGCTTCATATAGTTTAATTGACCTGCATAAGGTTGTGGAAAGAGTAAATCTGTCTCTATAGCCCATGACATTCCCACCTCACCCTCCGCCTCTTCCTTGCAGTGGTCCCCACATGCACTCTGTGGCACTGGCCCGGAAATCCTGTTGTCCTTACCTTTGAGATGGCTGGGTAAAACTAACTTTAAATATGTAAAATATTCTTTATTACAATGTATTATGTTTACTCTAAAGACATCTAATCATCTTCTAACTTAATGCATCTGAAGGTATTTGCCGTATCTTATCATTTAAGTATGAATAAGAAACACATATAAAACTAGGGATATATATAAAACTTTTACCAGACGCTGAGGTCCACATTAAGTCAGAGAGGAAAACAAACAGTTGGGGGTATTTGGGGAGGAAATGATTGTTCGTATTTTTCCTTCAGTGATCACTTTTTGGGGAGCCACAGAATATTTCAGAAAGATAAATCTGTTATTCAACTTCATCTGCAGAAAAATAAGGATGTTCCTGGAAAGTTATCTCGAAAGGTAAGATGTTCTTAATATTGGTTTTAATTTCCAAATTGACCATTGTAAGGACAATATTCTTTTCCTTATGATTGTTGCTGATTTCTAATTACATAGCCTAATGAATATATGTTCCTGTGAGTGTATTTATTAAAATGTAATAAAATATTTATCTATATGCCTGCTAACAATTTGAACCAGAATAAACAATTTACTGCAACCTCAGTATAATAATAAATCAATAGGTCTCTTGGAAAAGTGATTTATGAGAAATCGTTAAGGTTATTGTGTTCATACCATCAAAGAATCCACTAGAAAAAGTGAATAGAACAGAAAATATGAAAGGGAAAACACTGAATGAAGAGAAGGAGCACAACTCTCATTCTGTTTGAAGACAATGTCTGCATCAACACAGCTTCAATCTGGACAGATCAATATTCATAATACATAATAAAACTACCTAGAAAGGAATCACTGTGCTTTAATGACACAGTTCATGCTGTTAGATATGAATTGTATTCCCTGTGTGATGTCTTGAGTTACTTCAAACCCAAATTGCACAGTATGCAGTGAACTTTGAAATTCTGGCAGATTTTATCTTCCAATTACCTGCATTAAGTAAGAATCCCAGCACCCTGTCATTTACATCAGATGACAGATTTCCAGTGCCACGACTCTCTTTTCTTAGTCTGAGATCTTTCATCATAAAATGTGTCAGATGGTACATTAGGAGGCAATATATCTAAGTGGAATATAACATAATGAGGCCAAAAGAGAGCTATTTAGAAATACCCTTTGGAACTGGTTACCCAGCTCAGCCAGTGTTGAAAGCTCCAGGGCTCTGCATCTGAAACCTCACAAAGAAACATTATAAAGTACAACTAAAACTCTCAATATTAAGAAGCCTAATAATAGCCTTCACAGTGTCCTCCATGTTGACAAAATAAAGCTGAAGTCATCATTTTCATTTAAACACGAAGGAAGAGAGAAAAGATATGATTCTAATTTCTACTCTTATTTAGAAGATTCATGTCGCTAAGAAAAAAGTTATCTCATTGGTAGAAATTCACAGATCACTAGCATTTCAGTTACATGTAAATCAAAGTTTATTCTTCAATCCATATAACTCCATGTGTTTTATGACTTGGACTTGTACACTTCTATCAATTGAGTCTTCACAATAATTTTAAGTGATAAATATTATTAAAAATAAGGCAATGAATCACAGGGACCCCCGTGACTTTCCCCAGATCAGATTGATGGGTGGGTGAGCAATGGAACATGGATTTGAGCCCAGCCAGTGAGTCTCCACAGCTCATACCTCATTATACCTCATGCTTTCACCTTCCTCAAAAGTTTTAGATGTGAGTTCCAGAGCAACAGACTCAAATTGTAGATGTGTGTGTGTGTGTGTGTGTGTGTATGAAATACATTTTCTTTTTTTTAGTTTCGTATTGTTTTCCTCTGCTATATTTACATACCTTAATGTCTGGGGCATAGTAGGTGTTCAGTGATAGTCACATGAAGTGCCAGGCATTCTTATCAGTGCTCTACATGTATTGATTCACAATAGCTCAAGAGCAAAAACAAAAAAGGTTTCTTTTCATATAAATAAAAGTGCTTCAAAAGGTTATTTGAATGGCCCAATGTCTTATAGCTAATAAATAACAGAGATGGGATTTGAGCAAAGCTAGTCTGGTCATAGAGCTCACTGTATCATAATGACAGCCAATACAGTATCTTTGAGTTGTTGTCATCACCAATGTTATCATATCCAAGCATATAGTCACCTCTGGGTTTAAAGTGTATAGTTGTCAAGAAATGCCTGCTTTTCAAGCTGTCATTTGGCTCAGAGTGGGAATTAAGTTACATGGTTCTTCTTTTTTACTTTCCAAGCTTCGACTCATGAATCTTTATCTTTTACAATGACTATCATCAACTCAGCTAATTCAACAATTTATAGGTAAAGAGTATAAATGCCTTTTCTCATCCACAACTTTTCCTAGCACTTACACTCTTATGCAAAAATTGATAATATGCTTGATGGTATAGGTGTCTTTGTATTCATTATTCACTCAGATTTTCTGTGTAACTGCTGTGTAGCAGGCCCTGTGCAAATGAGTAATTAGTGTGATGAACAAAATCAATGAGATCTCTGCTCTCAAAGGGCTGAATGTCCAGGGGAGTCAACTGGCTTTATTCTCAATTCAAGGCAGTGGTGGCATCCACATGGGCTATGAAAACGGCTCTTCAAGGATGTTTTAGCACCACATTCCAAATGAGAAGACATCACGTTTTATTAAAATCTTTAAGAGTTTACTTCCAGGTACCATATATACTCTATACGTATAAAATCTAACAATTGGCTAATTCAATAAATATCTTTGCATGCCATATATATAGTCTTTGCCTTAAAAGATCTATAGAGTGAAGAACCTACTTAAAATTCAGAATTATGTCTTAGAACACATGTATGCCTGGGCTCTTATTCACTTGTTCATTAAATATACAATAATTGAGCACTTACCAAGAGACAAGAACTATTCTAGGCACTGGTGACGTGGAGGCAAATAAGATACCTCAGTACTCGTTCTACAATGTAGAGTTCACATTCAAGTAAGACAGAAAATTTAAGAAGGTACATAAAAATTTTGATAGAAATATGTGCTTTGAAAGAAAAAATAGCTATACTTTTAGAGTCTGGAGTGCGAATGCCTGATGCAAATGTGTATGAAGGACTAGTGGTGGTAATTATTTTTATTTGTACATCCTAGAGCATATAGGTTGAGCTCTGACCATAAGAATAAGAAGTATTAAATTTACTAACTTGGCATCTTTTTTAAAAGCCAGGTTCTGGTTTCATACTCCTAAATTCAAACGTCTACTCTTGGACATATTAAATTCACTGCACCTGAGTCTTCTCATTTAAAAATATGAATAATAATAGTGCTTACCTAATATGGCTACTATAAGAACTCAATTAATAAATAGCAATAAAGAGCTTAAATAAGTTCCTATATTTAGTCAGGATGATATAAATATTAGTTACCAATGTCATAAAATTGGTATGAGAGAATATATGATATTTTAGTCTTTTTCTATTAAACTCTGCATGATAAGGAAATAATAAAATTTCTTTCATGATTCTATATTTTTAAGTGCTGTCAAAATTTTCTGTGATTTTCATAATTTTAGGTGTAAAAATTATAATCAATTATATTTCTTCCTAGTAGAACAACATAAACTTGAATTGATAATATTATTTTATATAATACTAAGAATATAATGATTATTATAATTCTATTGAATGTATTGACAAGCAGTCCCTTCAGTAGATACTTCAGAATTCTAAAAGGCATTGTAAAGTTCAATTCAACTCATACACCTTTCTTATTTTAAACTTACTTGTATTTTAATGAAATAAGGAAATCTAATTCTTGTTCCATGAGATTATTTATAAAATGAGTTGACAGTCTTTGGAAATCATTCTAGATTTCCAAATTTTAAAGACCCCCTCTTAATGTAATGTGATGTTATGTGATGACTGAGTCTTTCTAAAAAAAAAATTGTTCTCCCTCTATCTCTCTTAACTTTGATCAAAAGCATTGCCAACATTGTAGATACTAGTCATAAATGTAATATTTCTTTCTGGCTCAAGGAAATATTTACAGAACATTAAAGCACAAGATTTTATGTGGAAAAAGAAAAAAACACTTTAACTTTTTCCTTAAGATGAAGGTATGACCTTTAGCATTAGAGAAAAGTAAAGTATATGATATATTCCATAGACAACTGCTCAAAATTTTCTCCAGCTTTTTGAAATGCTTTAAATGATAATTTTCTATTATAAATTACCAAATTACAAAGATCAATCTCCTCCCCTCAAAAGTATCTCTGGAAGCCAAGTAAAGTTATTATAAAATGATTATTATTATTATGCTATACAGAATGGTGTAAATAAGTCATATTATTTATATAATTGCCTAGGTTTTAACTTCTGAATGGATGAAAGTCCCAAATATTGCAATTGAAATTTTACTATCTCTTTTTTGGGGGGGGCTCCAGATTTCACCTTTTATTTTCCCTCCCTTCTTACTGTCCTTTTCATGCCTAAAGTTTAGCTTTTACTATTGCAGAAAAAAACTGTCTTACCACTATCACACTTTCAAATGTAGTCATCCCACTGACTCCATATGTGAATTCCTAGACAGTAAGCCTCATGTTTTTAAGTTCCTTAGCATTTGTACAAAGTTTTTGTTAATAGCACACACTCAACATATTGTATCGTAAGTGACCTCATTCTATCCAATCTAACTTAGCTTTCTTATTCTTCCTCCCCAAACAACCAATATAAATATCAATTTACTTTTTACCTTAAACCATGTAAAGGTTTTCCTTCTGATGTTTTCTGTTAGAAACTCTAATAAGCAGTTTTTAAAATAGGTTGTGTGTGTTTTGACATAAGATTGCATGCGCCGCAGCATTTAAAGGACTCACCCAGCTGCCAAACTTATCGCCACCGTGTGGTGAAATCGTGCACTTGTGATGACAAACTGTATTCTGTGCAGACTGGCCTAGGGTTATCCTGAAGAAGCTCGCAGCACTAATCTGGGAGTGAGGTTTGAACGTGTTGTGCAAGCGCACACTTGGATTACAGGCCAGATATTTTACATTGGGTAGTTCCCACTCATCTTGGGAGAATGAACACAGTGCCATCTGATAACTTCTGGGGTTTATAGCAATCAGTAGTTGTAAATTATTAGTACAAGTCAATGTTCATGAAATGGTAACTAACGTTGGCAGCAACATGTGGTAAAGCCGAAACGGAGTCACTTATTCCGTGTCTTCACACCAACCTGGCTCGCTGTCCCAGTTTAGGGGGCCATGGCGTCCCTGGCTCAATGGAAAGAGCAAGTGCAGGTGTGCGCGAGGTGCCTGAGAAACTGCCTTCCACCCAGGAGAAATAACGTTTGACCTTGGTGATGTCAGGATGTCTTTCAACTGTCCTTGAGGCTTATCTCCAGCTAAAGCTCAGCTCTGTTTTACTTTTGAAAAGAATGCCTATGCTGTTGAGAGTCTTGTAAGTTCTTTAAAACAACGTATTAAAGATGATGGATGAGGGTTATCAAAGAGATGAATTAAAAGACAGCAGGAAGTTACAGACCTATTTTTATCTGGTACTCATTCCTATTCACTCCATAAATATTAATATATTCTGCTGTCCACAGCATGAAGATGACCACAGTCAGTTTTTTCTGAACCAACTTTTAGAATTTATGCATATTTGGAAAATATCCAGGTAAGACATTTTATTTCTGTTCCAAGACTACTTTCTGACTGAGTTCTCAAGTGTCAAATCACAATATTTTTTTGTTGATTGTAAAAACCGTCCTTTCACTAGTACTGTGGAAGCTATTGTACTTTTAATAGATACCTCCTTTCAGCAAATTCTGTTAATAATTATCTCTTCCTCACAGCTATTCACATACATTTGAAGAGCTGCTAACACCTTTCAGAACAATCTAACATTCATTTTCAATATCTCTGTTACCAGTTATTACATTTTCAATGATTTTTCTCCCATTCATTTTGTGAATTTGAGTTTGCATGTGTCACTAAGCTCTCTGTATAGCTACATTTCCATACTTTGAAAATCACCACCTCCTGCTTTAAATTCCTTTCTGGAAATCTCTGAAAATACCTAGTATATTTAAACAGAGGACTGTGGGTTCAAACTGGAAAGCTCAAGTGACAGCAAATGAACACATCCATATTGATTCTGATATCTAAATGTATGCATGCATTATTTGAAAGAATAGACCTAACTAAGAAGCTAACTTGGGGGAAAATATCAGTGACACATGATTGGTGTATCTGGAATAAATATTGTTCTGAGTTTAATGAGCAAATAATGGGGTGTGGGAAGTATATGTCACAAATCTCTAAAAAAAAGCGTGATGTAAAAAATACAATTTAAAATTATTGTAGGTGACCATTAATAGTAACTGTCACTTCACATACATTTTGCATATATTATCTCATTTAATTCTTTCTGTAGCCCTATGGTAGTACATATTATCTTATTTCAGAATCAAGAAAATTCAATTTGGGCACTTAAAAGTTATTTACTGGGCCTAAAACCACTTATTTTGTTAGTGGCAAGACCAAAATCACTTCTGAAATTTTCTAAGGCCATATATTCTTTTATTAAACTATTGTGTCTTTCCATGTATCTTTCCTTTTTTTTCTGCCAAAATATTCAACCTCATACCATGGAATCATAGACTGGTACCCATAGACTGGGTAGGATTAGAGAGAACTTCGACATTGCCTAATCCAATTTTTTATTTTATACCTAATTACTGGATCAAGTATAGGTTCACTTCAAAATGGCACACTGACAAAGGCTATAGTGTCCCTTGTTCAAAGTAAGTTCATAAGAAAACCAAGCTGTTTTCAGGGGTAAGAGTCATCAAAGCTGACACATTCTTTAAAAAGTGGGAAATCCCTGGGAGACAAAGAACTGTTTTGAACTGGTTTGGTGGAGTGTTGTGACTTATAGCTTCCCACTACCTTGGACACAGAGAGACTTGTGGAGTCTGTAAGAACATGGTTAAAGCAAGGGAGTTTTCATGCTCTTTCTTTCTTACCCTGCCATTGTCTACTCCCTCACAAAAGTCTGGTGGCCTTGGCCACCATGCACAGTTCAGGTTTATTTAGGACAAAGCAAAATGTCTGGCACAATGAGAAGTAGATGAAACCTGGCAGGGAAAGACAAGCTTCAGAACCGAACCCCTCCATCCCTTCTGTACAATCCCAGAGCCACGGACTATAGTCTATAGGGACCCCAACTCCCAATACTGCTTGTCTTCCGTAAAGGAAAGTAAAACAGAGAAATCTATCATTTTCCCTGCCATCAAATAGATATTTAATGCCACAGCCATGTCTAAAATCAAATGTCTAACTCTCCATCCATGCTTATTCCACTTACTCTGCACTCAACCTTGACATTCCTAAATGTTATCTAGCCAGGTACATTTTGAGCCTTATAAAGGCCATTGGATACTTTGTTTCCTTTTCTTTTAAGTTTTACTGACTATAACAGACATATAACATTGTATAAATGTAATGTGTACAATTGATTATTTGATAGATAGATATCCCAAAATGTTAACCACAATAGTAATTAACATATCCTTCACTCATACACTTACCGTTTTCTTATTGTTATAGCAAGACCATTAAAGCTCTGTTCTCACAGCGAGTCAGGTGTACAATGCAGTATTGTTAACTATAGTCACAAGGCCGTGACTTTCCAGGACCCTGCATCCTGGAGCTTATTTATCTTATAACCGAAAGCATGTGGCCCTTGACCAGCACCTCCTCACTTCCCCTGCCCTCACTTTCAACCCTGAGCAGTTACCCTTCTGTGTTCTGTTTCCATTAGTTCTGTTTATAGATTCAACATATAACTGAGATCACATGGTATTCGTCTCTCTCTGTCTGACTTGTTGCTCTCAGCACAATGCCCTCAAGGTTCATCAAAGTGGTCACAAATAAGAGGTTTTCTTTTATGGCTGAATACTATTTCACTGTGTAGATTACATTTTCTTTATCCATTTGTATATTTATGGATGCATTTATTTTTTTTGTATTTGTGATATCTCATTATGATTTTGATTTATGTTTCCCTGATATTAGTCATGTTGTTCATGTATCCTTAAGAAAAGGGTCTATTTGAGTCCTCTGCCTCTTTTTAATTGGTTTTTTTCTTTTGTTATTGACTTGTATAAGTTTCTTATATATTTTACTTCCTTATCAGCTATATACTTTGTGGGCTTTTTTCCCCTCAAACCCCAGACTGCATTTTTATTTTGGTCACTGTTTCCTCCGTTGTGCAGAGCTTTGTAGTTTGATGTAGGCCCACTAGTCGACTTTGCTTTCTGATTGATGCTGCTTGTGCTGTGGATGTGATATCCAAAATCTCATTGCAGAAGACTGTTTAGTTATCCCAACACAATTCATTAAAGAAACTGCCCTCTCCCCGTTGAGTATTCTTGACTCCTTTGTCAAGTATGACTTGAACATGTGTCTATAGGTTTACTTCTGGACTCTCCATTCTGTTCCATGGGCCTACGTGTCTGTTTTTTAAATTCTAGTAAATTTATTGGGGTAAACTTGGTTAATAAAATTTTATAGGTGTGTGCTCACCTCCCAAAGACTCCTTCATGTTTTCCAACCGAATTTTAAGGAAAGTTTTTTTTCTTTCCAGACAGTGCCTTTCAACAGTAATCAAAAAATATGACTCCCAGCTGAAATGCCTGTTGAAAACCAAGGTATTAATTAACATTTGTTACTTCATTTATGAATTCAATAAGCACGCATCAAGTTTTTTCTAAAACTTTGCAAGTTTTTTAATTTATGAAGATGAATAAAGCAGTACCTACATTTGAGTGGCTTTCATTTTACTATGACAAAACAGACAAGTAAATACATGTATGTAATGACATGTCATAGGTCTTGTGAAAGACCCATGTGTACACAGGACACACACAAGGGGTTTTCCAATTTTACTTATTTGATCTGGATGTTGAAAACTAAGTATGCCAGTGATATAAAGGGCATAGTGAAGGAAGGTAAGAAATAGGGATAACATGAATGAAAGAGCCTGGTGTGATTAGGAAACCATAAAATTTACAATGACTGCAAATAGAGTTCAAGGTGAGAGCCTGGATAGAGACAGAAGAAAGAGGCAAATAGGGGCTGAGGAATTCAGGATCTTAAGGACATATTATTGGCAAGTGAACGATTTTCTTATTTATCAGGTGATGACATGGAGCCAACATGCAGTATTGTAAAATGACAGATGAGTAATTAGAGAGGTATTCATTAGCCCAAAGAAAGGCATTTGCTAGCCCAGAGAGAGGCTGAGGGCATTGTCAAAAGTTCTAATATAGGGATGGACAGGAGGGAACAGATTCACAACAGGTTAAGATGTGTGATTTATAAGATTTGGTAAAGCACTATGAGTAACAGAAGAACAGGTTGCCTAAATTTCCTCCAGATTCCTGGCTGTTGACTGACTGTCTGAAAACATCAATCCACTAAAATAGTGAAGAGAGAAGTTAGCTTGGCTGGGGGAAATGATGGATTCAGTCCAAGACTGCCAAGATTTGGTCATCAACTGGGCATCTAAATTGTAATCACTGTTATATGTGATCATTTATATGTAATCATCGTTATATTATGATCATTTCTTATAAGTTGTTCTTGCAGGAAAGTGTTCATCTTCCACAGGGAGAACATCATATGATTAAAGAAATTTATATAACAGAATGTTTTAAAGTAAGTGAGGATTATTTTTTCCATTAAATAACTTGACTCCAGATATGCATATAAAGTGACATACATCTTAAGTAACTATTTCTGACACTAATGAACAGTAAAGAATTCTGAAAATAAATTATATTTCTTCATATAGACCCCAAATTCATGTGTGAATACCACATGAATATTTAAAGACATGGGGGTGACAAACAAATGACTTACATTCCCTCCTCATTGTGATCCTCTCACTCTAATTTCACTTTCCTTCCTTGAGCCTGGCCTGAATCTGGACATTTTAAATGTGGAATGTAAAAATAATTCAAAATTAGATTGTTTTAAGTCTCATGAAAGTATCACAATTACTGCTTCTTTCATCTTGATTCTTCATCTTTGGGATAGTCATTTTTTCTAGTGTAGAATTTTAAACTTGCCAGGGACCAGGACAGTTTAAGGCTCCATTCCCAAATCACTTACGTATCTTGAATACATGTAGATATACTTTTGAGGCTGTGGTAAAGTACTCATAGATGAATTTTAATGATCTAAGTGCCAGATGTCTCATTACTATTTATGCATCATAGATGTTTTACACACACACATGACTGTTGAGAATCTGTTAACAGTTCTTATGTTCCAAAAATAGAAGTTTGAACATATTACTCATACATGAAGAATCCAATATTTCTACTTTGAAAGAAACCATTGATTATTATACATTTTTAAAACATGACATAAAACTCGGCAAAACATCAAAGAAATAGTGTCTTTGTAATATCACTGGCAAATAATTATCATCACCCACATCTGAATTATTTTATAAATAGGCCACAGTATCTGTGATTTTCCAGATGATATCCATGAAAACAATGAGCTTTTAAAATGAGATTCTGCCCGTAAAGCATAATCAATAGAAACTATCTTAGAAGTGAGGAAAGACTCTGACATTATCAATTCACAATTTTGCACTTTCTATTTATTTGACAAGTGCATTAAGTAGCATTTCATCAATGCCAAAAAAAGTATCAAGTTGAAAATTACATTTTTATGTTTCCAAAACTTGGATCATTACACATGATTTGAAAAAATAACAAATATGCAGGCTACATAAATATGCAATAATATTATTGAATATCAATGTATATAATTTAAGTTTCCAAATATTATCTTGCTTCAGCAATGATTACTTAATATATTTTAGACTTGACCTAATTTAATATTAAGCATCTTGAAAGACTTTTTCCTAACATATTGCTTAAGGCAAATCACTAAACTATTTACTCATTAGAATGAAGAGAAATGGAAGTCAGAACCGTGCTCTGAAGTTGCTGTTCTAGTTGAAGAGGCAGCGTATTCACATAAATAGCATTCATAAAGTGGGGTTTATACAGAGCAGAGCAGTGTAAAACCAGGTTTGAAGCTAGATGAAAGAATGAATGTCTGATGCAAAGTTGTATATTTCTAGTAGCCTCTATTATATAATCTCCAAAATTTTTATTCAGATGTCAAGTAGGATTTTTAGAGAAAGTTAGCAATTCCTATCACTGATGACAAACTTAACACTAGACTCTAGTAACTGGTGAGGTAGATATAAACTAGAGGGATCTGGATTCAGGGAAATCTATTTATGCTTCGTAATGTGGTTTAGCTTTGTGAAACCTCTACCTCATCTGAAAAGAGCTAAAACCCCCAAAATCTTTACTATCTAGCCCATGACTCATAGACTGTATTGACTAGATAACCAGGAGAATATGCAATCTTTATTATTCAAGTTCAAGTGATTCAATAAGGAAGGCAAAATATTACTTAACTGATACTTTTCCTTCCCTAAAAGCTAAATCTAGCTGTATTCAGACTCTAGACAGAGACTGAAAATTCCATATATAAGTAGGAAGAAAGGGGGCACAGAGGAATCTTATGTATTTATTTTTTCAGAACTGAAGCTCTTCCAGTAGCAGTCAGATCTGTTGGACATTCAAAAGTTCCAGTTTGAGATAGAACTTAAACAGAGTGACAGAAAGGACAGAACTAACTCAGGAGCGGAGATTCCAAAGTCAGATAGACGTATGTGTCAACCCTCTGCCAGTGATGGAAGTTTTTATTTAACCTTTCTAGAGTTCACAAAATTCATCACCGAAGTTAACATAATCAAATATACTAGTATTTTTTAATTACTGAAATAGTGCTTAATATAATAAAGTAGATGGACGATTAAAAGTGTTCAAGGAAAGATAAGTACAAGTGTTGCTTCATTGCTATCCAAGTTACTATTTTTCACACTTTGTAGAGGACTGTACAGGATCCAGGAGTAAAATGTCAAAAAACTAATTTTCATTTGCAATAGAGTATAAGAAAACGTGGAAAAGGAGCAAAAAAACAACATTAAAAATAAGAAAAAATAAATCAGTAACAAGGGCCGGTGGAAAGGTCACAATAGAAGTCAAGGAGAAGAAGAGATAAAAGTTGGGTCAGGAGAAAGATAAAACAATTGCAGAATTGGAGCCTACCTTAGCAGAAATAAAGGGCAGACTGAAACCACTCAAAGTCAAACCTATTATGTTTTGAACACCCCTGGAAGTGAAGAAAAAAATGAAAAAGTGAAAGTAAATCTTCAATAAGGAAGGTAATCTTTAGCCAACGTAATTTGTATTCCTAGTAAGAAAGAAAGCCTTGAAAGGTTCTGTCGAAGGAATAACATGATCTGGCATTTGATTTGGAATTTGTGCAGTGAGTTATATAACACATGGAGAATATATAACAATATATACAAATTAAATAAAAATAAAAGTACAGGCATTCACATTAAACATTAAGATGAGGACCAAAATATTGCCAGCTCATAGGATCTGACTGTATGCCACTTTCTATTTCTTTTCCTCTACATAAGAGGTATCCTTTGGTTAAAGGTATTTTGTTGCTTTTCTTTCCCATTTTCACTGCCAAAGTGTGCATTCATTAGCAATATTAAGGATTAAGTTTCTTTCTAATATCTATCTAAATGGAATAAAACTGTATGTATGTACTTTTTGAGGTAGGTACCTTTTCACACAATGTTGTTTTGGATAGAGATTTATCCACTTTGTCCCATGTGGTTTTGATTTCCTTATTTTCATTGCTATACAGTACTCAGATGAGTGGACCTTATTTATTTATATATTCTATTGTTTGTGTACATTTAAACTAACATCAAGGATTCTTCTATGGTATATGTCTAGGATCATAAACTTAAAGGTAATACAAATACCTTGTAATACCAAAGGTATTACTTTTCCAATAAGGTCTCAGACATTTTACAATACTGTGAACATCTCATTTGCCCCTCTTCTCACTCATGTGTGATATAGTCTGACTGTAAATTTTACCTCTGTGAGGTAAATGTGATGATATCTCATTTCACTTTTAAATTTTCACTTCACTGACTGCTAATAAATTCACAATCCTTTACTCTTTTTAAAGGTAACATCAAACTATCATTTTTTTTTTGTAATTTACATGTTCCAACATTTTATCCCTTGACCTACATTTCATTATCTTTTTCAAATAGATTTTTGGAGTTATTTACACAATTATTCTATTTTGGCTTATGTGTATTATAAGTATTTCTGCTAGCTTGTCTTTTTATTTTCATATGATGTTTTATTATCACATTAACCTTCTCAAAGTTTAATTTATATAATATATACTCAGTTAACAATAGAGCTTGACAAGTTTTGAAAAGGCATATACCAATGCAACCACCACAAAAACCAAGATATAAAATTATGTGCATTACACCAAAGAGTGCCCTAGCCCTCTTTGTATTAAATCCCTCTCATCTTAGGCATTATGCAGCCATGAATACAAATTTCTTTTGCCTTGATATCCAATAGAATTTTATTACCAGTGATAAAACAAAATCCTTGCCACATTGTTAATGTTAGAGGTAAAGTTGTGGCTTTACACAATTTACTATGGAGTTATTGTGAGGTTATGTAGATATGGTATAAAGCTCAATGCCCTTTACTAGGTCAGGGAAGTTTTCTTCTATTTCTAGTTTGCTACGAGTTTATATCATGAATGGGTGATAAATTGTGTCAAATGCTTTTTCTATAGCTGTAGAAATGAGCATGTAGTTTTTCTCATTTATTCTTTTTATATTTTAAAAATATCTTTACGCTGTTGAAATAAATCACACTTTGTGAGGATTTAGAACCTTTCCACGAATTTCTGGTTTTATTAGCTAATATTTTGTTAAGGATATTTGCATCTATATTTATGAGGGCCATAAGTCTATATTTTTATTTTCCTGTAATGTTGTGGTTTCATTTTGACACTGGAATAATGCTGGCCTTAGAAAATAAATTGAGAAGCAGTCCCACTCTCTGTAGCTTGAAAGAATTTGATTAGATTTGGTCTTATTTCTTCCTTAAATGTTTGAAAAAATTCATCATTGAAGTAATCAGGAGTTTTCCTTGTAGTAAGGATTTTAATTAGAACTTTAATTTCTTTATTTTTAATTGAATTTATTGGGGTGACATGGGTCACAAAACAATACAGTTTTCAAGTGTACAATTCAACAAAATGTTGCACACCCATCACCCAAAGCAAAGTCTCTTTCCATCCCTATTTACCCCCTCTTCACCCACCTCCACCTGGCCCCATCCCCATTTTCTTCTTGGTGTCACCCTGACTGTCTGTGTCTTTGTGTGTCATATGTGTGTGTGTGTGTTTTGCTTAATTCCTTCACCTTCTTTCATCCAGCCCCCCCTGTTTGCCTATGCCTAGGTCCTTCTCAATATTTTTGTTTCTCCCCCACATACTTTTCTCTTGTTTATTACTGAAAATAGAATAAAATTTTTGGTAGTTGGGTAAAGGGAGTTTTATGTTGTAGTGATCAACCACAGCCCTAGGCAGACTGTGTTCTTAAATCTCAAGATCGGAACTTTATGAGAATTCCTGACCCTCTGCATTCGCCTTTTATTTACAGTCTTGTACAGGAGAGTTTTCTGCACCTCCTCCCAGTGGTATTGTTACTGAACAAAAACAGGGATATGGCTGCCTGCCGCCTATAAAGGCAAACTCTTGAGGCAGAAGCTGGTGACAAAGGAAAGAGGTTCTTATTCGGGTGCTGAATGACCTGAGGGAATGGGGAACTCTCTTTCTCAAAGCTGATCCCCCTCAAAGCCCAGATAAAACCCAGCTATTCTTAGCAAGACTAAAACAAAAGGCAGTGCCCAGAGCTCATACTCCATTTTAAAGTCTCACCCTGCCGAACCTGTGGCTAAGCCTCTTAGCAGTTGCTAAGAGGTCATCCAGGTAGTTTAGCTTATTCCCAGCTGCTGCACCTCCTCAGGCTCCCTCCTGAAGACTGTGTGTGAAGCCTGCATGGCTACAGCCCTGTGGCTGCTAGAGCCACAAGTCTGCATGCTCCTGGACATGGTAGCACATGAATACACCAACCAATGTTTCACTAAGTTGGCGACAGAAAGAAAGACTCTCTCCTAGAGGTCATGGGCCATGTGACCACTAAACCACATGGCCCATGGAGAGGACAGGCCAGTACCTTTTCCAAGTGCAGGTTCCAATCAGTGAGCAAAGAGCAAGAGAGTGTTTCTTTGTTCCCCTGGGACTATATTTGTTTGGGGTATGGGAAGAGCCAGGTACTTCCTCAGAATGACTGATTAACTTCTTAAACTTTTGTGTGTTTTGAGGGGTCCACCTCCCAACCAATCCCTTCTTTCCCCAGACTAATCTGGAAGCCTCTTTGGTCGTGCACCTCCTCCTGCCACCACTCTGACTTCTATGGCCCATGTGCCTGCCTTCCCCTGCTCCCACCCCCAATCTGGTATCAGAAGGGAATAGGAGGGCTTTTTCCTCTGTCCAATTACCTTGTTAGCCTTGCACATGCTCTGTAAGGACCACCCCCCGGTGCCTTCTTGCCTAGGGGCAGGGAAACTCCACTGGAGCTCCATCACCTCTGCCTCTCATGCTCTAGTCCCCACATGCAGCAAGTTGCCCACACTCAGGGCCCATGGACAGAGAGTGCCCAAACCAAAAGCTTACATTAAGGGATCCTGAAAAATCTCTGCACAACCTCTCTGGCAGCACCAAGAATGGTCTCAGCAGGTTGGACAGGGCACCTGCAGCCCAGATCAGGATCACTGCACCAGGTGTGGAGTGTCCATAAGGCACATGCTCAGTTATCCAGACAACGTGGCCTTACATCCTTGGGACCTGGCGCTGCACTGTGAAATTTCATGTCCTTGCCATGGCCCTGGGGGCTTCTGAAGACATTCCTTGAACTTCCAGTCTTTGTCTCTAAAGATCATGGCTGGGTGCACATGCTGCTCCCAGGTTCTTTCTCATGGCCTAGCTCTGTCTTCCACTATGCTCCCTTCTATTCCCCGGCCTCAGCCTGCTCCCAGCAGTCCAGACAAATTATCTACCAGTATCAGTACCTGACCTGTGACTGGTATCCATGTAGGATCAAGACTCAAGATAGGGTCTCCTGCCCTGCCAGAAGCAGAATGTTTTCCTCATCAGCAAATAGTCCTCAGTTATAACTACCTCTCCCCTAGAGGTAAACTGCTTTTCTCTCTCTTCCCATCCCCCCACAAAAGCAAAAAGTTTTGCCTGGAATCAGAATGACAGAGGGTATTCTAAGTCTCCTAGGGTCATCATGTTCCTAGGACCATCAACCAGCAAAGTAATGCTTTTACTTCTTGTAAGAGAAGACTTCACAGAAGTAAACAGGGCTCTGTGCCTGACCCGTAGACAGAAATACATACCTCACACCTGCACCACTGAATAGACCTTCATTTTCCTGCATTGCCTTTAATATTTCCCTTGAACAACTGGTAGGTGTCCATGGAAAAGATCTTCAAGTGGAATGTAAATTCCTTGAATTCCCAAATATTCCAAACTGACATACTAGCTCATACCTAGCTTTTAATAATCTGTTAAAATTTTAGCTGATATATTCTCACCCTCTTATGTAGTGACCACCTCTTTCTCCCATGCTCTGCCAAAGGTCAAAGACTATCTGCCCCATCTCTCCTCAAAGTTGCCTATTATTTTGGAATTCAGTATACTTAGTTACCTTGTGACCTCAAACTATACTAGAGCCAGAAAAAACAATAATTTTGCATATTTTCTTTTTTTCATTGTTACTGTGGGAACAAAGTTGAATATTTTAAGCTGAAATGGAACTCCAAAGACTATTTTTATCATTTAAGAAACAAGCAACTTATAATAGCACTATTAAGCCTGGAAAGAAAATAATTCTCAATTTTCCCCAAACTCATTCATTGAATTTGATCATTTTCAGGATGTAAATATAAATAGAAATTCATTAAGGTTTATGTATTACCTAAAAATTTTTAAGCTATCACACAGCTGTCTAAACACTGTATTTTGGTCTCTACCATAGCTAAATGAAGGTAGGGGAAAACTTATACTGTCTTGTTTTATTCTCCAGAAAGATGCAGAGGAGAAACATTTGCCACCAAATTTCTCCAGTGTCCCAAATATTTTTAAGGTAAGCTTAATATCTAAAATATTAGAATGGTTTTCCTTCAGAGTCTATGACGCATCAAGTGTTTTCCAAGATAAGCTTGGAATGTGTCACACAAAATAACATCACAGCATGATTATCAGTTTTCAGTAGCTCAAAGATTCACAATAGTCTGGCACAATTTTTAGCATGAATACTTAATGTGGGCTGTATAAATTAATACAGCTACACATAACACAATTACTTAGTTAATCATTTTCCTTACTCAAAGCCCCCAATTAGAGAAAAGCTTCCTCAAAAGTTCTGTTGGCCAGTAAGCATGGTTTTCTTCTTCCATCTCATCCAGATGACAATCTATCCAATGTCAGGAATTTATTTCAAGACCACAGCTCCAGCGCTGACCCATTCCCTACCTATACCAACTAGTTTGGGTCTAAAATTTCAGCACCTGTTTCACTTGAGCTGTAAAACCAACCTCAAAACCTAAGGGCCTGAAACCAATCTGATTATTTCCCTCAGGCCAGGCCATTGCAACACCAATGTTGAAGCTACTACTCTGGTCTAATTTTCCTATTTAAATTTCTGTCTCCAAGCTTATTTATCTTATCTGTGTTTTAGGCTAAGCTACACATGTATATTTTTCTTATAGTTCATTTAGTGTTCATATGACTATGTGCTCTGGGTGTGCATGTTTCTCAGTACAGCTGCTGCTAGAGCTGGAATCTCCATGGCATGTCCACCTATCAGAAGGCTGCATCTGCTTGGTTGTCCCCTTGGAAGCTCAAGCTTTGTGTGTTAAAACTATATGCATAACAATCCCACCAAAAATGTTACTATTTCGCTTGTGTTTTCTGCCATAGTTAATGGCAACCTGTGTTCTTGGTTTCCCAATATGAAGTTTCGATATCATTTAAATCTGACCTTTCTGTTGGTCCTCACATCCAATTCATCACAAAGTTAATTCTACTACTGCAATATTTCGCTTAACATATTCTAGCAATCTTAGTGATATATGAATGTAATGAATAGAAGATTTATGTTTCAGAGATTCTGAGGGTTAAATGAGATAAATAGATCAGAAAAGATGAATAAGAGAGAAGTAAATTGGCTACCAAGTGACACAAGCCACCCCAGCATTAGCATTTCAACTAGCAACATTTTATGGATTTCCACAAATTCACATGTGCCACATATTTATTAGAAGATATGAATGGCCCTGGCTGGTATAGTTCAGTGGATTGAGCATGGGCTGCGAACCAAAGTGTCGCTGGTTCAATTCCCAGTCAGGGCATATGCCTGGGTTGCAAGCCAGGTTCCCAGTGGGGGCCATGTGAGAGGCAACCACACATTAATGTTTCTCTCCCTCTCTTTCTCCTTCCCTTCCTCTCTCTCTAAAAATAAATAAATAAAATTTAAAAAAAAAGAGCTCGAAAAGTTTGGCTCACTTGTATAAAAAAAAGAAGATATGAATAAAAACTAAATCTAGCAACTAATATATATCATTCCCATAGTTTTATGAGTTTTTAATTTTATTTATTAGTTATCTGGGTCTGTACAGTGTTTTGTTTCTCATAAACTGAAAGATCTGTATGAAAGATAAAAATTAATTAGCTAAAATTGAATCCGTATTCTCTGTTGGGCACTTTTTAATATTTTGCCTTATTTAATCATTACAGCAACCCTATAATTATTACTATTCTAATTTTACAGAAGAAGAAACTCAGGCCCCTGAAGTTAAATGATTCGATAATGGTCACAGGTGGAAATGATGCAGAACCACAATTTTAACACACATAGCTTGGTAGCAATACACACATAAAGTCTACTACACTATTCTGAGTACATTGACAGTATATTGATCACTGAATTGCTCTCCTTTGTGAAAAGTCAATTTGTCAAGTTCGGTCTTTAAGGTGTTACCCCGAACTAAACTTCAGTTCAGATTACATATGTAGAAAATGTGGTAGAACTCCTAATTTTCTAGTTATAATGAAGTAAATCTTCTGGCAGGCATGTCACCTTGTTGATTCGTCATAACTAAAACAGCTGACTTATTTTCATGTAAATTACCCATAAAATTTTCTTCCCTGTATTGTAATTGAGTGGTTGTATTTCCCTAGTCTGTGAAAGACAAAATGTGTCCCAATTAAATTGCATCTTCTTACCGTTAGCTCATTAATTGAGTATGTTATCCTCTTTGGAATTCTGATTGTCTTTCATAATATTAATTACCTTTTCTTCCTAGGTTTTTGTCATCCATTTTCAGTGTTTATAGAATCATATAAGAGATACTGGCAACATATTAAAAATTGTTTTTTCCATAAATGAAACAAAATGGTATTCCCTTAATATAATACTCATTTTGTGTTTATATATTGATAATGTTTTGTTAAGAAAATGATCTAGAATGAGTAGAGTTAAAATCTTTGTGGGATTGTAGATCCACGTCTCTGTGTGAAAAAAAAGGGAAAATATTTTCCCACCTGTTTTGAAATAAACTGCTGACTCCTCCATTGGAACCACCTGTGATGCTGGTGACAGAGCTGACATGTTTTGAAAAGCTATCATCACTAATGATATAGACAGTGCACATAAGAGTATCGTAGAAGGAAAGGTGAGTAGCACAAGGTTAAAGGAGAAAAATATTCCTCAACATAGTTCTTCATGATATATGGAAAAGAACATGGAAAAATCTGCTAAAAAATAGCAGATTTTTTTAATGAAAGCTAATTTAAGAACATGTGAGAATGCGAAATAAAAGGAGTAATGATTCTATACCTGAAAACTATATAACTTTATTAACCAACGTCACCCCGATAAATTCAATTAAAAAAAGAAGCTCTTGCCCTGGCTGGTGTAGCTCAGTGGATTGAGAACAGGCCTATGAAGCAAAGGGCTGCTGGTTCAATTCCCAGTCAGGACACATGCCTGGATTGCAGGCCAGGTCCCCAGTAGGGGACACATGAGAGGCAACCACACATCGATGTATCTCTCCCACTCTTTCTCCTTCCCATCCCCTCTCTAAAAATAAATAAATAAATAAAATATTTTTTTAAAAAAAGAAGTTCTTATCCACGAACAAGGACAACAGGGGTTGGGGAGGATAGAATGTAGGACAAGGGGAGGTAGACAGGGCAGGAAAGAGCAATGGGAGGAAAATGAGGACGATTGTAATTGAATAACAAAATTTTTTCAAAGGAAACTCTTTGAACTGTGATCATGATATCGGTGCATAACTATCTTAAGTGCAGCCAGTAATTCTGATATTAAGAAGAGTTTGTCACTACTGTAGACTGTACTTGTCGTCAGTAATTTTTTCAACATCAGTTGCTTCTAGGATAGTACAATCAAATGATTACAAAACTCTCCAACAGCAAACTTCATTGTCCCAAGTTTGTTCTGGATGCTGGGAATACAAGTTTTTAACACACTGCTCTCCTCTACGTTGCTTACTAAAACAAATGCATTCTGAAACTCTTTATGGGTCTGCCATCATTTGCCTTGTTTGCAAAGTATTTTGCAAAAACCAGACATTCTCCCTTTATCCATCTTTCTCCTTCCCTCCCTTCTTTCCTCTCCTGCCCTCCTCCTCCCTGCCTCGCTTCCTCCCTTCTCCCCAGCTCCTTTCCCCCCATTTCATTTCAAATAATATTAAATTAGAGTTAGAGGTGATATATATAAACTTAATAGTCCTACTTTTGAGCATTCACTCAATGCAAATTGTAGCTCAGGCCACCAGATAAAGAGTCTTGAAATTCCTTGTATGTAGGAACTGACGACCACGTTTTATTACATTTCTGCTTCATGGAAAAAGAATTAGTGTAAAGATAAATTAGTGTCCTCTCAATTTTAATAAACTGTAAGATATGGCTCTTTTAATCTACAGCAAAATGTGGAAAATATCATTGAAGAAGTTAAAAATATATGCAGTGTTCTGGGATGTGTGGAGATGAAGCAAATTACGGATGCTGTAAGTGAACTCAAATTGATTCTACAGAGAAAACAGGAGGTAAATATGCTTGCTTATTGCACAGAAGTTGTTTTAAACCTCAGTTCAATAAGTAATTAAGGAAACTGAAGGACAGGACTAACTACTACATATGTTTGTGTGTGTGTGCACATATATTTCAATCATTTGGGGACAATGGAAACTTGGCTCTATTATACCAAGAGATTTAATTAAATTAAAAGGCAATTTCTTACACTTTTAAAGTTTGTAACTTTAAAAGTTATAACAATATAACTTCTAAGTGAGATTGAAATCAAGCCCACAATCTACCTAGATGAATATGCTTATATAATAATATTCACAGGCCAGGGTGATATAGAATGTTACTGGCTCTCGTGTGCACGGTATATGTAGGCATAAGTGTCCCTGGGTGCGTGACCAACCACATTGCAGAAAAGATCCGTGTTTGGGGCATCTTTTGCTGAATTTGTAATGCATACTGTTTCTATGATCCCACATCTTGCCATGATTTCCTGGTTTATTTCCTTCCAGTTTTAAAAAAATGAGATTTATGTGATGTCTTAAGCTCAGAAATCTGATGTAGGTATGATTATTATCCAGAAAAAAAACAATAGGAAATCAGGTCTGATGAATTAATTCAGTCTTATTGTTAGTTTAGCAAGGGATTAAACAGAAAGATATGATGATTGTAATGATTATAGTAATAACAATAACAAGTACTTGATAGTACATTGCAATAATAAAGTGGTTTCACTAATATATTATTTCATTTAAGTTTTACTTCAGTTCTTCCTCACAGCAATGCTACAGAGTAGATATTTCAATGCTCATTCCATTACTAAAGCCTGATGTTTATACTGCTTGTATGTAGAGCATTAATAAGTGGCATAATAGGGATTTGGACCCAGGTCCCTACACACACTCCAGCACATGTAAAACTTTGTAAGGGAGAGTGATTACCAGCACCTTTACTGGCAGGGAGGAACAGCAGAGATTAGGTTACCTGAAATGTGCCAGCCTTGAAATTTCAAAAAGATTGAATTAGAGAGTGGACAACTGTATCAATATATAAAAATCACTGGGCTTGTTGTTTCAAGTAGGTGATTATGAAAAGTCAGTACTTTCTTAAAGTTGAACTTTCTGTTTTAATTGGAATGTTTTTTTGTGAAGAGCTAGTAATAATTAGTGTAGAAATGTAAATACCTTATTTGCATACACGAACAGTCACAGGGATGACCAAGGAGCATCATGGAAAGATTTTCGAGATAAACATCTGTTAAAAACTAAAAGTGCAAGCAACAAATAAATCAAAATTTAAATAATATAGCCAGGTGTTGAAAGGCAGATACCATATGATCTCACCTTTAACAGGAAGCTAAACAATAAAACAAACAAGCAAGCAAAATAAAAACAAAGACACTGAAATAGAGAACAGGGGGACAGTCACCAGAGGGGAGAGGGGAGGGAATTTCAGGGGAAAAAGGGGAAGAATTTGCAGGAACTAGTATAAAGGACACATGGACAACTAAGGGGGGTGGAAATGGGAGGGAGGTGGGGAGCACTCGGGGGGGGCTGGGATGGGAGTAAAAAACAGAAAACTGTACTTGAACAATAATTAAATAAATTTTAAAATAAAATAAAAAATAAAACATATACAGCACCTGAAAACAATTTAAATAATATAATTGATAAATCTCAAAATTCAATTTCTAATATAGACATGTATTTATTGCCTTAAATTTTTATTAGTGGGGAAATTTCTACTCTTACACTTTTCTAATTACAGAAGAAAGTGAGATAACTAGGCAGTCTCCAATACTGTAGCTGTGTGTTGATACTAAGGTCCATGGTTTTCACAAATGATGGCAAGGTGATAAAGCTGATGTGAACACATCTAATCTAATCATACTTTTCTATTCTATGTCAGGGTAAGAAAATTATACTGTACTTTTGAAAACCCTCTCACAAATATCTTGGGAAAATATTTTGATAAGCTCAAAAACTTAAGAATTATATAATATTAAGAAAAACCTTCCAATAACTGAAGTTAAGTCAGGATAACAAGGGAGTGGGAATTTACTTTCAATAATTACTTTCCCTTAGATTATCACATTAGAGACATTACAAGCCCCTAAAATAGTAAAATACCAAGAACTTAGAGTTATGCTAACATGATTTGAATTCAAGATCTACTTTCCAGATGAACATCTTTTAGAAAAACTTATTCATTTACCTGAGTTTTAGTTTAATCATCTCTAAAACAGAAAAACAAAACTTGCAAGGGTCTTATATTAAAAGTAATGTTAATAATTTCTGGTGAAATAAGTATTAGAAATAATGTTAATAATTAAAGTAGTGTAAAATAATATTAATAACAGCAACCAGAAGACAGTGTCCTGAATGAGAGTCAGTATTATTAGTGGAGGTGGTGGGCATGGTGATGGTGGCCATTTCCGAGAGCCTTTCCCAAGTGGCCAACATGGTGTTAGTTCACACAAGCTCCACTTAAGTCCCAGTTATCTCAGGGCCACTGACAACCACCAGCCTCATGACAGATGTGAGCCTGGGCCAGAGGGGTAGACCAGATGTATGAATGTGAACATGTGCCTTCCCATCTGGTAAGATCGCCTGGTTGTTCATCCATTTTTATGCCCAGCTCTCCGTGAACCAGCAGAAATAAACAACTGATCAAAAACTGAGGAAAATAACTTCAGGATGAAGGACTTCAACCAATATCAAAGTATTACTAGATAAAAAGCTTTACCTTTAAAACATTCATTTTCTGAATCGTCCTAAAGGAATGCAAATGACGATTTCCTCTGAAATATCAAACTTCCAATATATCTGAAGCCAAAAGAATCCTTCAAGGAGAAATTATTTCCTAGGAAAGCTACGAATAATAATAATTCTCAAGGAAAGCTCATATTCGCACTTTCCTTTTTTTGTACACTTATGAGCACTAAATTGTATGTGATTATTCACACATAGAAATGAAGAAAACAGCTAACATTTGACAGTTTTATTTCAGATATCTCAATGACCAAAATCGATAGTTTAATATCCCCTAATAAATAGATTCTAATTCTGTGAACATACTTTAAAAGTTTGCTAATTCTACATGACCTTCATTCAGACTTTTTGTTCATCTCTTTCTTCATTCTAACATAACTAGAGCCCACCCACATAACAATGTTGGCACAAAGAGTAAGCACATTCTACAGAATTTGTGCATTAACCAGCTGCAGTGGACAATGTCACCGCAGTTCAGACTGTCCACCCACCACAAACCAAGAGTAAAGAAATTCTGAGGCAGAGGAATCTTCTGCCAACAGAGTTAAACTTGAGAAGCTTTCCTTTCTTGTGGCTGCATTTTTTTGTCAACTTGCAAGAGACTATTTCCTGCCACACAGGGAAGTAATCAGGTATTTATTAAATGTAAGTTTTGGCAAGATGACAAATTGTATCACAAATAAAGTTGTACCTTTGTTCATGCCCACATTCAGCACCGGAAACAATTTTTCATCCTTCAGAATTATATTCTAGAAGCTCACATAATATATTTTCATTAAATGCTTATAAAATAAGTGAATCATAAAGAAAAAATATATGGCCTTGCATGTTGTCTGTAGGTAGCTGTCATGGTGATTTTAAAATACAAGGGTTTTTTTTTTATTCCTGAAAAAATTGAATTCTCATTAAGTCAGGCCAGCATCTTCAATAGTCAGGCTAACATGGATGGGGTAGAGCTCTTAAGAGGGGTGACCCTCCAAAACTGGAACTGTCTTCTGGAGGGTGGGCCCCTTGTAGTACAGGCTTCCCCCGCTAGCTGAGCGTTCTAGCAACCCCTCCATATCAGTGTGCCATCTGGCGTTGTCAGAGGCTGCATTTGGCTTCAGTCACTTTTTTTACAGCTCTTTCAGCATGTTTGCCCTTTTCACTATGGGTGATTTACATGCACACCTGCCCACACCACACTGAGTGTTCAGCAGTTTTTGACCAAAAAAGGCATGACCTCCATGTCCCACCCTGCCTATTCACCTGATCTCTCCCCAAGTGACATTTTTTGGTTTCCCCAGATGAAAAAAAAGTCCTTAAAGGGAAATATATTGTCAATGTGGAAGAGGTGAAAGAGAAAATGGCAGAGGCACTGAAAAATCAACGAGTTCAGAAACTTCTGAGCGGTGGGAAAAAACATCCAGACAGGTGTACTGCATCAAATGAGGAGTAATTTGAAGGTGACTGAAGTGTAAACAAGAGTAAATGCACATCATTTTATAAATAAATCCCAGGTTTTTGGGGTCCCCTGTCATATGTTCACTTGTTAAGACTAGTGGTTAAAACTATGCTCAGATGAAATATTTTACCCAAGAGAAGTCCATCTGAAAAGGTTCATGTAAATAATTCTTTTCCATAAGAAGTTGCATATAACTTTAATTACATTTTAAACATGATAGAAGTGTTTCTCTCTTTAGAAATACTTAACAAGTTTCTGGTTATAGAAAAGCAATTATTCCCTAGTTTATTTATTTAAGAAATTGAGCTTTTCATTAATTGAATTTACTAAAAAGCAAACTTGTCAAAACAAAACATTTTAAAACATTAGTGTCCATTAAAATATACCTTATTAAAGAATTGACTTTGCTTTTGGACTGAAACCTTATTTTTGTGAATCTGTGAGTCATCTTATACAGTTTTCATGATACTGAAGTTATAACCAGCAAATCCTAAACTACTAAAGTAACCCAGGCCTCCAACAAAAGAACACAAACAAGTCAAAAAATATAGAAATAAACAAAACCATCACACTAATGATGCAAACTTAAATGACAACAAAAATAAGTAAATTTCACATAGTATTTTTAAAATTTAGCATATAGTCTCAAATGTTTTAAAATTATTTTTAATCTTTTGAAAATAAAGGAACAAATGAAACTACACAGTGAAGTTATGTGATTTTGTCCACTTTCTTCCAGCCCTCTTTTCGGTGCAGCCCCAAACTTGTGCATAAATGAGAACTGAATGCACTGAATGGAAAGAATTGGAAATGCACTCACATCATTTATTAGACAATGTTGTGGAAGGAGGATTGCACTCACAGCATTGAGAATTGTCCCAGTAATACTGAAAGACTGAGCTAATCCTAGAAATGTCTCTTTAAAAAATCAAATAGCCTAGCATGTTCATTACCACAAACAATCAGGCTTGTCCTACAATTTGGATTTCCTCTGTTTATAGGAAACATTTACCTATAACACCAAGGAATACTTTGTCTTCTTAATTCCAGAGAAGCTTCAGTGTGTGGATTTTGGATACTGTCAGTTTGACTGTTTTGTGAATTTGTTTTCTGAATAACAAGTGCGCCTTGCATCTATTTTCTTTTTTAGAATTTTCATCAAGGATTGGAGACTTCAGCTAAAGGTAAAATATATACGTACTCAATTTTTTTAAAAAAGTTATAGACTCAGAGATAATCTTTTTCAATTTTCCACCCAAATATTATGGTAACAGAAACACACACAAATTTTTTGGAAGAAAAATGCATTGCTCACACTCTTTTTACTCATGAAACTGATTATCCTGTGAATGAATAATGGTCCATGCTCTCTAAACTTTTAGCCTGACATTTTTTAAAAAGGGGAACAATCAAAGAGATGTATAAAAATTAAAGAAATGTTGAGAATAGCCTTATGACTGTTTCGAGAAACTGTAAAATTTTTAGCTAATTATATTTTGATGTAAGAATGCCAAGAAAGTAGCAAGTGTCTTTCTTCAAAGTCACTAATTTCTAATTTAGAGTCAGGCTCTCACCTGGCAGAATGGCCATCATCAATAAGTCAACAAAGTGCTGGTGAGAATGTGGAGAAAGAGGAACCTGTGTGCACTGCTGGTGGGAATGCAGATTGCTGCAACCATTGTGGAAACAGTATGGAGATGTCCCCCAAAATTAAAAGTGACTCTTCCTTTGGCCCAGTGTTCCCACTTCTGGGAATATATCTGAAAGAACCCATAACACTAATTTTAAAGAACATATGCACCCTTATGTTCACTGCAGTGTTATTTATAATTGCCAAAATATGGAAGCAATCCAAGTGTCTACCAGTAGATGAATGGCTAAAACAACTATGGGACATTTACACAATGGAATACTACTCAGCCATGAAAAAGAAGAAAAATTACCCTTTATGACAGTATGGATGGACCTGGAGAACACTATGCTATGTGAAATAAGCCAGTCAGAGAAAAATATCATATGATTTCACTCATATGTAGAATCTAATGAACAAACTGAACTAACAAGCAAAATAGAGACAGACTCACAGAGAGCAGGCTGACGGCCTTTGGGGATGGTGGTGGGGGTGAAGGGATTGAACATAAAGAAAAAAAGATTCATTCATGTGAACAACAGTTTATTAATTGTGAGAGTGGTATAAGGGTAATGGAAAAAATAGAATAAAATATTTAATAAATAAAATATTCAAAATAAAAAAGTCAAGCTCCCAAAGATCAATCTTCCATAACAAGTAGAAAAATCTGGTTCTGTAATAAGAAGTGTTCACAGAGGCTCCAAGCCCATAAAATGGCAAGCCACAGGAGGACTTGGCTTTAATAGAGGATAGTAGGTATATGGTAGTGTGATACAGAGAAAAGGCTTTGTTCTTCAGAATCAGGCAGAACTGGTTTTTGAATTTCAACTCTGCCACTTTTTGACTTCATGATCTTAGAGAATTAAACTTTATGAGCCTCAGTTTTCCTAGTATGCATTAAAGATATGATGATATTTAATGTGCAGGTTGCAGTCAGGGTTATTCTTGTTTATTCAGGGAGAAGGCACTTATGAACAATGCATGTCTTTAAGAAAACTGCCTGACTTACAGATATTGAACGAACACCCTTAGATTCAGAGGTGATAAAGAAGTGCAAATAATAACCCCAATCTGTCCTCCATAATTTCAATCATTTTCAGTGGAAAGTTATGTACAGAGGGGCATCCTTTCAACACTAATCCCCACCACTCAAACGAAGACCTTCTATTATGTTGAAAGAACTGCCACTTCAGGTCACAGAGGAAAATGGGATGGCAGAGGACATGGAGAAATAAACCCGTACTAGTGAAAAAGTCCCTGTTCCAGGCATCCATAAAACTCCAGAACATTTCTGCCAGAGGAAAGGAAGGGAGTGAATCCTCCCCAACAATGTTAGTAACACAAAGTCCAAGTGATGGAATGTGGAGTGAACAAGCTGCAGGTATTCCTGCAGGGAGCTGGTCCTTGCTTTCTATTGGCAATGTTGGAATTAAATCCCATCACTCATATTCCTAAGGAATTGGAATATGAGATCCCATAAAACTGCACGGTAGCATTCCCAGAGACTTATATTCTATGCTAAGTCATCATAGATTCTAAGGAATGCACTTTAATTGCATAAATATTGTCATTATTTTTATTTCACAACAGTGTAACATTTTTTCCAAAGTAACATCAGGGATGATAAACATTATTTCTTCTATATTTCACTATCAAGCCCAGTATCTTGAGTCCTTAACACATGTCTAATGATGCTTGAAGTACTTCCGGAGTGCTGGAAGGGAAGCATACTGCATAAGCACATATCTCTATACACTTGGAGGAAGCAAATTATATAACCAACAACATCTGGGCCAAAAAGTAAAGAGTCAAGTTTGAGTAATTATCAAAATAATTAAAAATCACCAAAATATATGCTGGGGCTTCAATTAATAAGATCTCTGACCTAATGACCTAACTTTATGATTTATTTTATCTGTATTCATTTTCACAATAGTGAAGGTTATTAAAGAGAAGATGTGTGTTTCTGCTTCCGATACCAGCAGTACAATTTGGGGACCAGGAGACAAGATGTTTCTATACATTTATAATCCTCTACTGCCTGTTGTTCAGGAGAATCACTGCCAGCTGGTCTCCAGAGGGCGATGAGGCTGCTTTTAGGGCTGTTATGCTGCTCTACTCTTCTGTGTCATTAATTGCTGCTGCTGATTTCTCAGAGAATTTTAATGCGTGCTTTTCCTCTGCTCTTTTTCCTTTCGGGCTGTTTGAACAGAGGGCATAATTTTAGAAATACAGTGAATAAGTAAAATTTGGCCATCTAATAAGTTTCATACAGGATTATGAGTAACTAAGTGAATAATCAACAGCATGTTTTGAACAGCAAGAACATTTAGTTATGGACAGAACTGCTGAGAGACAGGCTATGGGTAGAAGCCCGTGCTGAAGCCGACCTCTCTCCTGAGTATCCAAACGCCTGAGCCGACTACTGGGCACTGCAGACCACTGGAGGGAAAAGCTAGTTCTTTTGTACTATTTACTTTTCAAAACAACTAGAAACCAAAAAGCAACGGTTGTTTCAGGAACAATTTATGAGGAAGCGCCTGTGTTTGGATCAACACCAGTAATGAGCTGTTGACTCTGCACATGCTGGAATCAAATCACAACAAAATTTCTAATGATGTGCTTATTCTCTCAAGGTCTCCCTTGCTGTACCGCGAGCTCTGTCACCAGTTGCAGTGCTCTAGCAGTTGCAGGGGGCGGGGTGGATATTCCTTAAGCAGGCGAGGACATGGAGATTCTGTGGCTGAGCAACTGGCTCCGGGTGGCGCCAGAGCCCCAGGCTGGGTATTTGGGATCCCAATTGAGACAGGCCAGAACCACGGTCCCTGATCAACCCACAATTGAAAAGGAAGCTGCAATCTGGAGAACTGGCGTCCAGGCCGGACCACCATGAAGCCAAGGCCACAGGCCTGCCTTCCTCACCAGGCACTCCCAGTTCCACTTGGACACTTACCTGAAAAGGGCTGCACTCTGATCCCCGAGTCTGCAACTTGTAAACTTGGGACTGAAGTTTAATAAAATCGTCCATTCCTCCATGTCTCAAGCCAGAGAAACCACCAACATCACCAGCAAACACCCGCTAAGCAGCTGCAAAGTCAGCGCAGGAACCTGCTGAGGGGGACCACCCCATCGAGGCCGCGGAGCTGCAGGCTGTGCTTCCTCACCGAGAGGGGCCCCATCAACCCCGACTTTCGGAACTACATCCCCCAAGGGGACAGGGAGCAACCGAGAGGCAGGAGGACTGTCATTAGACCTTCCACTGTCACCTCAACGTCCACTAACCTACTGAACAAAAAGGTTCCCTCAAGAAGGTTGGCTCCGCCCCTCCCTAGACTTCGGCCCTATTGCCACCCCAGTGGCTTAAGACAGGCGCTCAGTAGCCTCGAGGACAGGCGGTTCAGGTGTGTGACAAAACGTCCCACTCCTCTTGGGCCCTGTGCCCAAATCCCCCCATGTGGCAGCCACTAAGCATATTCCTGCCCTTCGTCTTCCTTCCCTAGGACACGCGGTAATTACACCTCCTGTCTCTAAGCGAAAGAGAAGCAGAAACATCTAAAATGTGGCATTTTGGTACTTTTATCTGGCCCAGGATGGAAAAGGGCAGCTTGTAAATTGAATCAGACTGATTCTGTTTGCATGGTTTTCTTCCATACTGCCATCTACCAGGACCAGATTGGGGTCCAAGGAGGCCCCTTTCGAGGCCTAAACATGGCCTGACAGATGCCACCAACTGCCGGGAACAACAGGCAGGTCCACACTGAGGGGTCTGTGGTCCTGACCACAGTTGGCCATGTGACCTCCCTGCCCCCATTTGGATTCTGGTCTGTAAACCCAAACGGGCACCAGGAACAAGGAGGAGAAAGAGGAAACCAGATATGTCATTCATAACATTTCACTTCATACATTCTTTTCATTTCTTAAAAACCTTTTTGTTGCTTAAATATTTAAGTGAATATTTTTGAGCTTTTATGTTCAAGTTTATTCTTCATGTAACTTTTAAACTACTACTGTAGTTGGATATTAAAACAAAAGTAACTGAAAGTAGTGAATGTATTAAAGGTTCACTCATTCACTACTGCATATAAAATACCAGCAGTGAGTCCCATTTGCTGGCCCCATTAAGAGGTTCAACACAGAACACTAAAAAATGTTCCCCACCCTCATAAGCTTTTCCACTGTCATGGGGCCATCCTTCCTGATTTCAGTCAAAGACCACCAGATCTGCCTGGCACATTTCATCAGTCTTTTCTACTTCCTTCCTCTCAGGTAGGTATTTTTTTTCAGCAAAGAGAGCTTATCAGGAGAAAAGAAGCCATTCTAAGGAAAGTTCATCTTTCATTCTGTAATTAGATGACCCTTTTCATACGACCAGCATGCCTAAGATTGGCTTCTTTCATTTACCACATATTTAAAAACTGTTAGCCCCTTTACTTAGTCTTTAATTTTTTTTTTAAAACTGGGCTATTTTATTTTATTTATTTTTAAATATTTTATTTATCTTTGGAAGGAGAGAGGGAGAGAAACATCAATGTATGGTTGCCTTTCGTTCATCCCCTGCTGGGAACTGGCCTGCAGGGAACTGGTCTGCAACCCAGGCATGTGCCCTGACTGGGAATCGAACCAAGATTGTCTGGTTCACAGGCCCATGCTCAATCCACTGAGCTATACCAGCCAGGGCAGTCTTTAATTTTTTTTTAATTTTCTACCTTCATGACACTTCAAGTCACTTTTAGGAAAAATCAATAGGCTCCCTTTAAATAATCAGTGATAAAACTACAGTAAGACTTTGTTTTGATTTTGAGTATATTTAGTATCATAAAGCTTTCATAAATAAGCTTTAAGCAGCTTATATCAGATTCAAACCAGGTACTATTACCATGTCTTTTTATAGGAACATAAGGCATGTTATACAATTAGTGTTTAGTTAATGGTAAACAGCATAGCATAATTGAATTTATTATGATTAACTTCTAGATGGAATTTGTTTGAAAAACTTGTAAGCCATGTAGCAGACATGTTTCTTGTCTTCAAATTAACTCTAAACAATAATAACCTAGAACAAAACTATCACAAATTATAGTAGATATAATGCCAAATTAATAACCCACAACTCTGGATTGGATTAAAGGTTTCCAAAATTTCCATAACTGAAGATATGACATCTCATTATCTACACTACCAGCAGCTAATTCCGGCTGCACACAGAGACACAGATGGCTGATCAGCCTCAGTTGGTGGAGGGTCATTGTAATTAAATTTTACTTAAATGTTATTACAAAAAATTTCAAAGTTATACTAGATGGCTAATGATAAATATGGTCCTTCACAGGTGACCTGATCTATATCCTTTCCCCCTAGGCTTGATAGAAACAGTGACAACTGAACTATCCACATCCATCTACCAGCTAATTGATGTCTATTGCAGCAGCTTTTATGCAGATTTCCAGCCTCTAAATGTACCTGGTCATGTTTCCTGTGTGCATCCTGGGCTCCACTCCCACCTGAGCTTCATGGTATATGCAGCTCACAACATTCCAGAGACCTGGGTACATAGGTGAGTGTCAGTGAGGTTTTTTGCAAAAATGTTAATTAATATTTACATAGCTTCTAATCAGAGTATATTGTCTTAATCTTATTTGCTAGGGCAAACATTTCATAAAATTTTGAAAGGTAATCAGCATAGATCTACTCTTATTCTTAAAATTATTTTTAAAAACTTTATTCTCAATGAATATTCCTTTTCCTTCAAGTCTTCTCCCATTCTCCAGATTAACAATGATTGCATATTGTCAATATATCACTATAGAAAAAGAAAATGCTCATCCTATTAGTGACTCTCTTAAAATTTTTATTTTATTATGTTTGAATCTAAATGCCTAGTGTCAATTCACAGAACACACACACAGAGGGGGAGAAAGAAAGGAAGAACATAGAGGAAGATGGAGAATAATTAAACATACCAAAACAACACACTGGTTTTCACCAAGTATTGAGTAATAAATATTTTGTGAGATTACTACCTTGATAAAGTGGGAATTAGCCAAGAGTTATCTGAGTGACAATAGAAATTAATCACAATTGGAGCATCATCAGTATTTAGACTGACTCTATTATGTAGCATTTTCTTGAATAACATAATTAGAGTAATATTATAATACTCTTTAATTCCTTATGTTAAATCTATAAGATTATACAGATTAAATCAAAGTTCATAGGAGAATAGTAATTTATTCATGGATGTAGTATACCTACTGCATTTAGCATTGCAAAGAAAAGCTACAAGAAACAATCTTAGTAAAATCATACACAGTTGCTAAATTGGCCTGTATTTTTACAAATAACTGAAATGTATACATATTTATGAAGCCAATTAGAAAGGAAATTTAACTTTTTATATTAAAAAAGCATTATCTATCCTCTCTCTCTCTCTCTCTCTGTCCACATTTCTTCAGAACCCATGGAGTGATGATTCTTTTATGCTTTTTCTCTTTCTTAATTTTATAACAAATTTTAAAGAGTTGATGTGTAGTATAATAAATTGCTACTCTAATGAATTTTCTATTATAATTTTAAATATTAACACATTTAGTTTAATTCACATGAAAAAACACGTAGTTAGATAAATACAGGTAAAGAAAGCTATATGTGTAGAGCAAGGTGTGACACTTAGTTTTGTTTATTTTTTATTGGTTTTCTATTCTCTGTTCTATTTAATTCAGTTCTAAATTTTATTATCTCCTCCCTTCTACTAACTTTGGACTCAGTTTTTTTTTTTTCTGGTTCCTTGCTTGTAAAGTTGGGTTGTTCATTTGTAATCTTTCTTCTGTAACATAGGCATTTACTGCTATAAACTTCTCAGTACCATTTTCATTGCATCCCATAAATTTTGTATACTGTTTATTCATTTTTATCTGTCTAAAGACATTTTCTAATTCCCCTTTTGATTTTTTATTTGACACAGTGGTTATTCAGAAATGTTAATTTGCATTAATTTGTGAATTTTCTTGTTTTCTTTCTGCTGTTGATTTCTAGTTTCATTCTATTGTGGTCAGAAGTTGTACTTGGTATGATTTCAATCTTCTCATATTTATTAAGATTTGTTTTGTGACCTAACATGTGATCTGTACTGGAGAATGTTTCATGTGCACTAGAGAGCATTATGTACTCTCCTGCTTTTGGATGGAATGCTCTATGTACATCTTTTAGGTTCATTTGGCTCACACTACCATCCAAGCCTTCTGATACCTTATGGAGCTTCCTTTGGTTCTATCCATTAGACCAGGGATGTCCAACATGTGGCCCACCAGGGTTATTATGAATGTGGCCCAACACAAAATCATAAATTTTCTTAAAAAATTATCAGATTTTTTGTGATTACACATCACAATATCCATAAAATATATGTATGTATACTCTCATTATTTGCACACATATGTGGCTTCATTTTTATGGTGGTGTGCAGCTTCCAGTGTGTTACCTTCCAAGTGCAGAAAATAGAATTGACACCATCAGATGTTACATGTGCTCATAGTGACTTAGCAAGGTAGATATTATCAATAATATTTCAACCTGCCATTGCAACATTAGGTGTTTAATGGTATTTAGAAGTCAAGTAAGCATTCTTATTTGATTCTTAAAGGTACTTCCACACCTCAGCAATGCTTCACACATTGCCCGCCATGCTTTATAATTGGCCCTTGTCCTTGACCTTGCCCTGCATCAGCAGCTGAGAGGTCTCTGGAAGGGTCCAAAGTGTTCAGCGTATTGAATTAATGTTGTTGTTATGTGTGTGTGTGTGGTTTGTGTTTTTTTTAGCTATAAAGCATTTTCTTTTTCCTGTTGGCTTACTTATGCTGGAAAGAAGCTGTTCCAAGTGAGAAACCACAGAAATATCCAAGTCAAAAAATTGTTTTTTTTCTTGGTCAACTGGAATGAAATGTAAGTTTAACCTTTTTTCTGGTAGGATCATTTATCTAATAAAGATAAGAAAAGTTTTATTTTTATTTTTAAGTAAAGCATGTGATTTTTTAAATGTTGCCAGTTTTAACATTGATTTGATTCAGTGATGTGATAAATATGCGAGGGCTAATGAATAACTGACTATTTAATTTTAAAAAATTGAAAGTCTGTTTAAAACCTAGACAAGTGTCCAATCCACATTACCTAACTGATCAAAGAGGGAAATTGGAAAAAGAAGAATTATTAATCATTCACAGACTGTGGATGAAAGGAATACCCTCTATTTAGAGTTGAAGGGAGGTAGATTCAGATACAACAAAGAAGAAATGGCCAAATATGTAATCTCTTTTCTCACAAAGGCCTATTACATTTGTTTAAACAATCAAGTTTTCTGACAATAATTATTTTTACATTTTGTAAACTGCCATCTAATTTGGGGTGACTGGCTCCTACTTCACCATTTTCTAGAGATTTAGTATATCAATAAGAAAAAAATACTTTCTTGTCATCATCTATGCCCTCCTCCTCTTCTCTGTTTTCCTACCTCAAGCCCTCACTTTACTCAGAATCGCAGGAGATGGTTCCTGCATGGTTACTGATTCTTCTCTTTGCTGTTCCCATAACACGGATCCACTATCTTTCCATCATTTCTCTGGGGCTCCACTGTTCACTGAGAGCCAATTCTCACCACACCGCAAGGAGAAGAAAACTCCACATCCCAATCTCCATCAGAACTTTCATAAGGTCTGGCTTTCTTGGGAGATAGTTTGACTACCAATATTGTACTTTCTTATTGATAAATTTTCAAAACTACTAGAAGTCCTATGATGGTGTTAGATAATACCATTTATCTCATTTTTAGTGTTATATCAATGGAGACATGTCTCAAGACATAGCATGTGATTGCTCCCATCCCAAAGCAAACCCTTATTCTCGAAACATGACCATCTTTGTCTCCCCTGCTTTGGTTAAGAATCTTAATTACTTTGATCAGATACTTGACCTTCAATTACAAATCACATTTCACTGCACAAAATCAGTTTTGCTTGTAAAATTCTTGAGAGATTCTTCGATTTCTCTAAGGTAAGTACAAATCATTTTGTGTAACATATAACACCCCCTGTGGTTTTGCCTGTCTGTCTCCGAACCTCAATCTTCAGAGTTAGCCCTACTCCTGCCCCTGCGCCCAGACACTCGCTGCCCCTGATCTACTTACCCTAAATGTGAACTAACACCTAAATGTGAAATTAACGGCTCTGTTAAGGGTCCTCCATCTGTCAAGAGCACAGTGCCTTCACTGCCCACCTTGGGAAGACCTAACTATCTTTCAAGACACAATTTCACCTGTTCTGTAAGCTCTTTCCTCTATTATTCAAAAAGAATGGTCACTTTTTCTTTTATTGATTGGTCTGAACCTCCAACTACTCCCTCCAACTACTCAGTATGGTTCTATACTGAATGTGTTTGTTTGCTTCTACAAAATAATAAAAAATATCTGTTTTGTTCTATTTTATATAAAAAATGCATTCTATCCTTAGCTGTTTACACAGCACCAAACAGATAAGTGTTGCTAGAAAAAATGAATGAATTTTGTGTAATAAGTGACTCCTCAAAAATGTTATTAACCAACTCAATTACTAAAATTATTCTTCTTAATTAAAACTTATTCTTGGTTGTTTCAAAAAATCAGATTTATTTTCAAATTACAGCTATCTTCCATCATTTAAACAACTCAAGAGAAAAATCCAATTCTAAAGTCAATTTCAAAGAAATTGAAAATATAAATCTGAACATAAACTGAAAATCATTAGTATAGTTGGAATAACTACATTGATATACTTTTCTTTTCCTTTAAACTTCACCCAATATATATAACCCAATATAAAGGGTTATATTTCCTGGGACAGTTTATTTGACTTCCTTAGTAGTTAGTTACATCAATGAAGAATTATTTTTACTAAAATTATTTATCATTTTCTGGGTACCTATAGCATTCTTTATATATTTTGTTAACTTGTGCATTCACACTATAATTGATCTTTCATTTTATTACTGTACTGTAAACCTAAGGACAGAAGCTGTGCTGTTTAATAGTATGTAATGTAGATTTTAACTACCTATTATATTTCAATCATCATAGTATAACCCCAAAATACACTATAGCATTTTGACTTAACAACAAAAAATACATAGCAGGTGTTGTAATTTCCATTTTACAGACAAGAATATTGATGTTAATGATGATTAATTCACTTGCCCCTAGCTCCACAACCAATAAATCACAAAACTGGTGCTTGGGCCACTCTGACTCCAAAGCTAATGCTTTACTGTGATTTCTATGCTGTTTCTTACAACATATCAAAAATTTAGCAGAGTATTTATATTCTAAAAATAGTTATGTTATAAAACAAAACTCTATTCAGTTCTTCCACCAACAGTCACCTCCCTTTTTTCCTCCACTTTTCATGAAAACCCTTCCAAAGAATTGCCTATATTCACTCTCTTCAGTTTTTTCTCTCCTCTAAAAAAATATTCCAATCAAGTTTTCATTACCTCTGCTCCTCTGAAATTGCCCATTAGAGTCACCAGTGACCTGCATAGCTGAGTCTAATGCCTGTTTCTTCATCTTACACAATCTATCAGGAATAGTTGTCACTGTTGATCTCGCCCTCCTACAGAAGTATGCTCTCCACTGGCTCCCACATTCTTTTGGCCTTCCTTCTCCTGAGTCTTTTCTTCTCCCAGACTGCTAATGGTCTTAGCTCTTAAGTCTCTTATAATCAAATAGCTTTAAATGTCATCTAGATACCAACAACTTCTAAATTTATATAACTAACCCAGTGTTAGCCACAAAATCCACATTTACACGTGCAACATGTCTAAGATTGAACTCGTGATCTTGCATTCCAAACTCTCTCTACCCCTAGATGGCCACTCTGGATGATCAATTCCAGTTGCAGTTTTTTTCAGGTCATATCCTTAACCTGAATCTACTTCTCTCAGATGCCATATCCAGGAAATCCTACTGGCTCTCTCTTCAAAACATTTCCAGGATATTACTTCTCATCACTTTCATTGGTCTAAACCACCATCATCCTCCATGTATTACCACAGTAGCCTTATACTAGAATACTTCCCTGAACTTTTATAATCCTTTTCACCCAATGTTTTTTTAAAGAAAAGGGTTTTTTAAAAGATTTTATGTATTTATTTTTAGAGAGAAAGGAAGGGAGTGAAAAAGAGAGGGAGAGAAACATCAATGTGTGGTTGCCTTTCACTCACCCCCTCCTGGGGACCTGGCTTGAAACCTAGGCATGTGCCCTGAGTGGAAATCAAACTGGTGACTCTTTGGTTCACAAGCTGGTGCTCAATCCACTGAGCCACACCAGCCAGGCTTTTCACACAATGTTAAAGTGACCTTTTTAAAAATGTAAGTCAGGCCGTGTCATTATTCTGTTTAAAAATTCTGAAATGGCTTGCTGTTTCACTCAGATGAAAGTCAAAGTCCTTACAATGGTCTATTGTACACCAGCATTAAAGGACAATTCTAACAAAATGTGACTTTTTAAATCTCCTATTTCACTACCAAAATCTTAGTCTGATTTAGGAAAATATTCTCACATAGAAGAAAAAATGTTTATTCTCATATAGTTTAAAAAATTTAATACTCTCTCATTTTTCTTTTTTTAATATTTCTTTTTTCTTTTATTATTATTTTATTTAATCTTTATTATATTTTTCCATTACCAATGAGTGCCATTACTCACGCCTCCCCTGAGCAATGACCACACTGTTGTCCACATATGTGAGTCTATTTTTCTTTTTGCTCAATCCCTACACTCTCTCAGCTTCATATTTTTCAGTAGTAGAGTAAGGAAAACATATGGTTAAAAGTTGAGATCTATGCCAGCTTCTTGGATTTAAAAATGCAATCTGCCTTCATTTATTGAACTGCTTCTTAAAGTATTTTGTTTCCTTTTTTGTCTAAAAGTTCATTCCTTGACTTTTCAATAGCTAGGTAGAACTTGCAAAATAGGTATTTCCCAGTGAATGTGAGATTATTCTGGCTTTAAAAATCCATATGTATTCAAGAAATGAATAAATAACTATTTATAAAGCATATATTCTTACCCAAGAAGAATTTACTTTTATTAATAAAAAATGACAAAATGGAAATATGCAGTAACTATCCACTATAACTTATGGAAATTTTTTGTCATTTTTAATATGAAAAGCTCACTAATATGTGAAGTTATACATGAAGAAGCCTAACTGAATGGGAAAAAAGAACATTCTAAATTATCTGAGGAATAAAGTGAATTTATAGCTTCCATTCTAGCCCAGAAATATGAAAACTGAACAGAAATCCAATTACAGGTAAAAGAGAAAATATTGAAGAAATTACTGTTTATTCCAAAGAATCATTAATATCTTAGGTTGACTTTCAGGGCTTCTTTTAAGCTGAGAAATATGCCCATACTATCTTAAATAAGTATTATGAGTATTAAATAATATGAAAGAAAAGACTCTTAGTTTTACCTTTCTAAACATGTAACAATTTAATTTTTTGTAATCTAAACTTTGCTAATCTTGAAAAATAAAATTTCTTTACTCTATTGATTAAATAATGAATATAATGCTGATATACAACTTGCCATTTCCATACATTGTGTTTTACAATATTTATTCCATCTTATGGAAACAGAAAAACAAGGCTTAGAAAGGTTAAATTTATTGCTCAAGGAAGAACATTTTATTGCACATAGAGCCAATATTCGAACACAGTTATATCCAGATCCAAACCTCGACTCCTTCTCTCCACACATAGTTTACATAGTGATATCTCAGACTTATTCTTAATGACATCATGTCATAAACTACATAGTTCAGTTAAAGGTATCCACTATAATATAATCTGGAAGGCTTAAACTCCTCTTTGATGCATCATTGTCCTATTCCACTAATATCTTGTCAGTTAAATATTATCAATTTTACCTCTAAAATAGGTCTATCTTTCCTCTTGTTAGTTGCTTTATTTCCACTCTGGATCTGGACCTCTTCATCTCTGGGAATAGCAACTTCAAGAGAAGGATGTGCACTTCCTCGAAATCAGTCATGCTCACTGGACTAAATTAACCCATCCTTATTCCTGAGGCTGGATGCTGCCCAACCACTCCCCAAAAAAGGGGGGTCACCAACGTCTTATTTGGCACCGTGGAAAAAGTCTGCTCCCTGGCATCCAAATCAGACAGCAGATTCTTAGTGTTAGAGACACTTTGCAATACCTGAAGCCTCAGCTGGGCCAACCTCAGTCACCACCTTGCAATTGGGTAATAGACTTAGGGCATCATCAGCCTTCCAATAATCACCCATTGCTGAAATAAGTTGACATCCAAGTTCAACTGGGAAATCGAAGACCAGTAGATTCTGTTCATAACCCACATACCTAACACCATCAGATAGCATCCAATTCAGCTGCCTCATTGCTCTTCCAGTCACTCTTCTCTTTTTTCTTTCCATCCCTTGCTGAATCTCTTTCCATGTATCTTCCCCTTTCTGCCTAACTCTGTTTGAATTTGCTCATTTCTCTCTAGCGTTCTCATCTACCACCTCGGTCTTTTGAAAAATATATCTTTAATCTCCTTGTCTCACAAATATATCTCTTCTAAATTCCATACTTTTCTTGAGGCTTTTAGAATAGAACCTGATCATTTCTATACAACTGAGATGATTCTAAAAGGAAAGAAAGATAACCCTTCTTCCTGTCCACCATTAGGGACCTTAGATCACCCTCTCACTTTTCTATCAAAAGCCCTTCTTAGAAATTATACCACCCAGGTTAACTACTTCCAGACTTAGAATATCATTTATAACCTTGTAGACATTCATTTATATATCTTCATCGCTTCAATATCTAAGTTCAAGTTTTTCTCACCATTACCAATATTGTGTTTATTCTTAGCTACTTTTTGCCTGTATCTACAATTTATGCAGGGTCTGAGTTTGGTTCTTTCACATTGACATACCCAGAAATTGTCTACTCATTTCAGCAATCACCCCCCCCTAAATTCCTAAGATCTTATAATAACCCAGAAGAGTCCACATCTAAAATTGTTATCAACTTTCTATTCTTTTAATTCTCTTGTTGAAATATTTCTCGTTTCCATTAGGAAAAAGCTCAAATTCCCTTGCCAGGCATACATAGTCCTTGAGCATTGCAGTAACCACCTATTGTTCTGATTGCATACTCTGATTGCAAACTTTCCCATGCTTGACCACATCTCTCATTCTACTCACAGTGAGCCACTCACCATTTATCAGCTGCACTTAATCTTTGTGTGCATACATATCCTTGTCCATGAACTTTTCTCTCTCAGAATATTCCTTTGTAAATCTCCACCTGATTATGACCAACTTACCCATTTCAATTTATTTCCTGTCTTCCCCATCTTCTAATACAATGTCACCTACTATTTCCTTTGTGCTTACAAAGGGTGTATATTCAAGTTATAGTAATTTTTAAAAGTAAGTTAACGTGCAAAACATAACTTTAACATTCCCCATTGATCATATAACCATTCTCACCACTCAATATACTTCTGCTATATTTGTATTTTACAAGATTAAACACAAAAGTTTAAGAAGATGCCTCAAGTATTTATGAAAATGTCACTGTAATTTATAATCTCCTTTCTTTCATTTTAAGCATCAATTTTCCCCTTGAAATAAAGTCACTTCCAAAGGAATCCATGCTCACTGTAAAACTGTTTGGGATTAACCGTGCAACCAACAATGCCGATTTGTTGGCCTGGAGTTCTCTTCCATTGTTTCCAAAAGAGTAAGTATATCATTTGTTATTAACGAGGGTTCCATCTCAATTTTTTAAAAAAGAAAACCTCCTTGAAACTAAATATTTCACAGTATATAATGAGAAAGTTGAGAAGGCATTTTGTCCTAAAATTGAAGTAGCTCAACATAAATCATGACTATGAAAAGTGGGACTGCAAAGGAAGAGGTAGAAATGGGTTTGAAAACAAGCCTCTTGTTCCACTTGTCACCTGGGTCATTTGCAATGAGGGGGCACTGGCCCGCCCACTGCAATGGCTTTTCCTCCCCGGACCAGACCATTTCTCTGCAGTTAGTTAGTATTTCAAAATTACTCAGCTCAACACTGTCATCTAGAAACAATGTAAATCAGGAAATTCTGGCATAAGCATAATTACACAATGTAACTCACTGGTTTACTGACCTTTCATTGACAAGGAGAAATATTTGTAACTTTAAGATGATATGTTTACAGAAAAATAAGCCAACTGTAAGTTCAGATATTCTGTTAGCACTAATGGCCACTGCAAAATTAACTGATGATTTAATTATATTTGGAACTACCAATACTTAAGATGTTTGATAAAGTTAACTACATGATTTTCTATGCTATTAAGGAAAATTTTTTTCTAATAAACCAGCTTAGTTATTTTTTTACATAGCATGATTTGTTTTAGAATCAAATTGTAAAATACAGTAGGACCTTTGAAAAATTAGAAACTACCTTGTTACTATAATATTGGTATAAATAATGTTCTTGTATCTATTGTTCTAAAAATATTTGATAACATAAATATGTTGAAAAATTTTTATCAGTTTGTGGTTGCCACATCTAGTCGATAAAAATAGCTATCATCAAAGCAAACATCAAAGATCTTTTAAATTGCCTTTACTGGATTGGCTTTGGACTGGTGTGTGTGTGCACATGGCTGCTGCTCTATTATCTGCTTTGATGCTGGAGCCTATTCCCAGGTATGTGCGTCCTGAGGACGGGAATGAATTTATCTCTGCAGTGTCTTCCATCCCACATAATACCTCTTATAAGAAGGTAATCATTAGAGGTTGGTTTACTAAATTGAACTGGAAAAAAATCAACTCCTATTGGATACTTAGAGTAGGAATAAAATTTCAAGTCTGTAAGAAAACAGCTTTGCCCTAAAAGTAATATCTACGGGTGTTAGCAGGTATTTCAGAAATCTGATTTGTGGGTTAGAATTTTCATTATTTTCTCACTAGGAGCAGCTGGGCAGGTGCCTTCCTTTCTGTGAGTGAGTTTCTTTGAAGTTTCACCTGCAGTATGTTGTAACATCTGGAACGTTTATAAAATAATGTTTGTAGTTATTCACTGAAAATTTTCAATCTATTTTATTTCCTTCAATCATCTAACATTCTACTTTGTACATAATAGGCACACAATACATGGTAACTATATAATAAAGTTTAGGATGTTATTGTCTTTTGAACTCATCTTAAGGCCTTTTTCTAGGTGGTTATAATAGTAAAAACGCTGCCTCCATGCTGTTTCGTCCCATGCCAATTAGCACCAATAAACATTTTATATGTACATGATCATAGACAGTGGCCATCTTTAAGTTAGGCCATTTGGGACTGATATTAAGTGGTGTTTTCCAAAGAAAAAGTGTCGAAACTATGCTTCCAAAAAACCATTTCTCATGGAAATCAGACAACTGCTTCTCTTCTGGGCTAAACAACTTGAAGAAATTCAGTTTTTTAAGACACAAAAAATCCATCTGTGGGGCAGGTTCAGAGACACCGTGACTCCATTGTGCTCATTGCTCCACATCATGGAGAGTCTGACCTTGAACATGTGCTACAGGTATCTCCTGGGTTATAGCAAATATGCCTCCTAATTCCATTTTCCTTCACAGAATGAGCCGTGCCCATAAACAGTTGGGATTGCGCCTGTCATTCATTAGAGTTTGAATTGCCCACATCTAGCCATGTGGAATTGTAATGAGCACTTATGTATTTTTTCCAGCATACATTCAACCTGAAAATAGGCATAATTAAAGGCTTCCTATCTCCTTGTGGTTTCCAGAAGTGGGTTCCAGAAGAACCGACGGTTATTAAACTCAGAGGAACCAGTTATGGGTGCATCGAGAATGTCTACAAATAAACCTAAACTTCTCAAGGCACACAAATTTGCCTTCAACCCTACAAAAAAATGTGTTACAAGTACAAAAGTAAAACTCTGACCATGGACTCTCTATAATCTCTTTTGCAGCAGACCTTCCATAGCATCTATATTGTATTCACAGTGCCTCCTCACTATTATAAGAAAGTATTATTTTCACCTCAACAATTCTTGCAAGCTGCCTTTTCTACTTAAATTCAAAACAAATAGTGCAGTAGTTACTTAGCATTTCTAAATTATGGTAAATTCCTTCAATGCAGAGATTCTCAGCCCTGAATGAACAATCTCCCACAGAGACCAGCAACACTCTCCCCATCATAATTCTACTGATCATCTTTCTTATCCTTATATTTTCTGTTTACAAAAGTCTGGAAATTTACTTGGTGCTTGCAATATCTCAAAAGATGTTTAATGCAGTTCATTATCAGAAAGTAACTTAGCTAATACAAAACACACACAGAGAGTGTAGAGAATGGTGCCAAATATCTTTCCCTGCTTGAATTGCTGACAAATGCTGACATCTATTCTCAAATCACCTCATCCTTTCTAGAAATCAGCTTAGATCACTCAGTTTTTTAGAGTGAAGCATGACCAAGACATATAAATACAGTAAGGCTCTAAATATAACTCATTCTACAACTTGCAAAGAAAAATGCCACTAATATGACACGCTTTCCCTCATGACCTCCTACCTTATAACTAACAAAGAGGAAAAAACTTTCAATGATGACAAAAAATTAGTCAATTCAGGAATTTCAATAGTCCTTTTAGAAGTACACACTCTCGTCGGAATTAAATGCTTAGTCATTCAGATGTCCTCCTGACACACTGGTGCTCTTCCTGAGGTCCTATCTGGATGCACAGGATCAGAACAGAAACAGATTCTTGGGCATGGGGACCTGACCTCTTGTGTCCAAATCAAAAGCACTTTTGAAGCCATGGCTGTTCATCACAGCTCGTGTAATGGTGGCTGGTACTATCCCAGCTTGACCAGGGCTTACGGACACATGCCCTGGGTGACATGGGCTCCTGCAGGCACTGCAGACCCATCCGAGGTTTGCCTGGGAATCCCGCTTGCCTTCATCTCATCCTCACCCTTATCACCGAGGTTCCTTGTCCCTCCCATATGAACCCTGCTCTTGGAAACTTCCACACTCAAGATATCTTTAGCTCTTTCTAGATCCCATCTTCCCTATACAGAAACCAAAGGAGGCCCAACAAAGCTAAACTCAGAAGTGCCTTCTGCTTATTTGCCACTTGGTCCCAAGTTTAAAGTTATGTCATAAACCATTACAGGAACAGCACAGGAGGTGATTTGCAAATACAAGCGCAAACAGGAGCCCTCTCTGCCTTCAGCGTTATCCTGTAGTCCTCTAACGCTCCTCCCCGTCTGCCTTCCAGAAGAGAGGGAAAGGGGAGCATGTGCATCTGTGCCACGCTCACTCTGTTCCACCTTTGTCTTCTGTTCCCCACCATCACCAATTGCCAGACAATGGCGACTTTTTCTTTACCACATTCCCCATCTGATGTGCCACATCCTCCTTCCTCGCTCCTGTTAACCCTTTACCGTGGGTAGGAATATTTTCTGTAAATGCGGTAGAGTGCATTAACGTCTGAGCCCTCTATGTTTGCTGTTAGACGTTCTCATTCTTCTTTCTGCATTCTGATAAAAACTAACCCCAAACCTTTTCCAAGCAGATGGGTACTTCAGACCATTTCAGAGAGGGTTATAAATTCCAAAAGACAAAAGGAAAAATCACACTAATGATATTCTAATCTTTACCCTATTAAGCTATTTTTAGCTTGCTAATACTGGCCCCCTGGTAATATTATACCAAAACAAAGAAAAAGTTTTCTCAAGATGAGGGAGAGATAGAACAAAAAACAAAGACCCAAAATTTATTTTTCTGGAAGAATATTCTTGGATTAGATAAAAATTTATGCCCAATAATGTTTATAAATTATACTCTTGTAGGCAGATACTCTCTAACAATACCTTTGAGTATGAAAAATAAATAAGAGAGGACTCAGAAAACTAAATGTCTAAAGAAAGCTTTATTTGCTCAACTTTTCAACATATTTTACATAGTGTCTGTTAAATGGCAAGATGGACTTCTATGTTGTTTTCAGACTCATCTGACGTCTTGAAGTTCTCTATAAACTTAAATTTAATTGGAGTGCCTTTCAGTTCTACATTTTTAATTTGGTGTGTTAAAATCAAAAGCTGTTCTCAGTAATCATTGGAACAGTGTGTCCATAATCAAATTCGCATATAGAGCCAGGTACAGCTTTCTTTTTAATTCCTATAAGGATCTGTGGATTTGGATGTTACTGAAATTGTTAAAACCATGCATGAATTCTTCCTGTTTAAAGTCTTTCCAGTATGCATTCTCATCTATTATGATAATTTATAATATATTTTCAAAGATTCAGAATATGAATATCCTTTCTTATTTATGCAAAAAGAAGAATTTCTTCTGTGAGGTACCACAAGTATTTTGATTCTGCAGATCATATGCTAATATTTTTTTTTCTGTAAATTTAGAGCTCATATCTTTATAGATGCCTAGGGAATTTAGTCATTCTGTGGGGCAAAAAAATGTTCTGAAGAGTTAACCATTGTGAAAACAACTTTGTCATGCAGAAAATAAATGTAGATATCTATGAATGTAACCGTGCCTTAGGGTGATGTAAGTGAACTATTAATCAATATCTAAGCTTATGGGATATTTTATTTCTCTTCTTGCTACTGACAGAAGCCACTAAAATAGCTGATTATGTTTACATTCTAAAAGAAACCATTTACAGGTAATCAGTTTTCCTCCTGAAGTGACTCCTGTCTGTATGTGTATTCTTTGGCAGCAAATCAATTCTTGGGTCTATGCTATTCAGCCTGACATTACAGAGTGAGCCTCCTATAGAAATGATAGCTCCTGGAGTGTGGGACACAAGTCAGCCATCCCAAGTGACCTTGCAGGTAAGTGGCAGGCTACAGAATGAAAGCACACAAGGCAAGTATTGATTGATAAGTAGCCTGTTGTCAATTACAGAAACAATTTTCTAGGATCCCGCATTTTAATAGTCCTCTCTTCCTGCAGCCACTGGGATTTGTAAAATCTCTACAGCTTTTACTTTGTATTCAGCACTCTCAAAGTGTCTTTTCCCAGCTTGTGTCATAGGAATGTCAAGTCATTTTCCATCCACCACAATCATTAAGGAGAGGAATGGAGCGCTGCCATTAGTATATGCATTATATGCACTCATTTTTTCTATTGTTTAAAATGAGATCAGTCATTGGTACATGTTATTAACTGTTATTGACTTGGCACCTTACTCACACCTGCCTCTGCACCATGCCATGTTTCTTCAAATCTCTTCTATTGTACATTTCCTAAATGATGGCCAATTAGCTGAGCAGTGGGAGAGAAACCGCAACAAAATCAATCTACTACACTTTCCTTTTTCTTAAAGCCTCTCTACTTTTTGTAATCATGAATGAAAGGAGATTAATGATTTCAGGCTTTTGTTCTTACTGCTAAGAACTCCACATTTGTTCATGATTGTACGTGACCACATTGGTCAGATACCTGAACCATGGCCACTCTGATACATGAAAATGTGGGGACTGTAGACTTTTCATCCCTATAAGAAAAGCCGAGAACTGTTTCTCAGCAGCTCTCTCTAGAAAAGGATTTTTCAACTATGGACATTTTGGATCAGATCATTCTTTGTCTCCACATTGTAGGATACTGAGCAGCATCTTTGTCTTTTACTCACTAGATGGCAGTAGCACCTCCCCAGGTCAGACCATCAAATTTGCCTTTAGGGGATGTCAAATGTCCTCTAGGGATAAAATTGCTTTCAGGTGAAGATTGCTGCATCTAGAGGAAGCTAGTGGAGTCTCAAGGCTTTTAAGTTTTCAAGATCAGGGTGAGAGATTTAAGGGACAAAATATAGCAAGATGAGCAACATAGAATGGAGGAAAAAAGGAATACTAGGAGAAATGTGGCTTCCCCTCTGAAGGAAGGAGGCTGTCCTCCACCAGACAGTAGCTGAAGATCCACTTCTAAGCTGTGGACACAATGATAAGAAAGAGTAGCTGTTCAGGTTGGATCTTGGCACAATCACAGGTACTCAACAATCAGGCATACTCATCCTCAATGTTCCACTGTAACAGGACACCTACCTTTCTTTAAGAGGATGAATGTACTCTAAGACTATTTCTTACCAGGTACACAACACTTCCGCTTAACAAAAATCTTCCAAGTCTGATCATTGCCAGAGCTTTGTGGAGATAACTGCCTGATTGCAGGGCTCTTTAGCAGCAGTGGTAGGAAGGAGTAAGGGAGGCTATGAGATGAGATGCTCGTTGATTCTTCTCAGAAGGGAGGACAAGCTGTTTTCAGAACACAGGCCCTGGTAAGTGGGATCTGAAAAAACATTTCAAGCATTTCAACAGCGGCACAGATTTCCAAGCAGACATCTGGAGCCATACTGAATTTATCTTACAAGAGGAGTGGGAGGCGTGTAAATATTCAACACCATGCAAAAAAGTTAGATCATTTGATTTTTACAAGATAATTTCAAATGGTATAGACATAAAGGGAAAATTCTCAGAATAGTCTTAATTGGTGATGAAATAAAGTGAGTTATTAAGCTATTAAACTTAGAACCCTTAATAACCAGTATCACTCTAATTACATACAGCTAAATTTAGAGCAGAAATTTTAAACCTAAATATTATGAGATGGTGAGGAGATTTGAAGCAAGTTCTGCAATCAGTGTTTGCATTAAGGAGTCAATAAAAGTCTTGGAGAAAGACATCAGACTGAGAGTTAGGAAATGTGGATTATAGACTTAGCTTTCTAGCAAAAAACTTTATAGCTGTGAACAAGTCACCCAACCTTATATTTTCTCCTGGTACAATGAAAGGATTATATTATGCCTGTCTGAGTTATTTCAGGTCTGTACATTTTTACTATCTTTATCAGATGGGCAGTTATTGCCACACTGTGGCCAACCCAGTATGATAACAGATATGATATGTCCCAGAACATGATTCCTTCCAGCCCATCATGTTTGGAGGGTTCTATGGTTGATGTGCTGGCGGGAAGCAGTAGACAGACTGAAGTAGATCTGAGCTCAGCAATGGAGACGTATGATTGTACAACTCCATCACCCTGAGTCACCCTGAACTTCCTGCCTCTCCCCTTCTGCAATCTAGTAGACTGGTTCCAGCACAATTAAAGAACTAAAAGCAGAGCCATTGTAGTTAATGTTGCTCTTATTCTATCCTATATTTCTCTATTTCCTCACCTGCCCATCATGTCTCCTTCACTATATTCTAGCTAATATGTCCCCACCACACTTAACTGTTGTCTGGTAACCCACTAATTCCTAGTTGCCAAATTCAGTGGTGTTTTCCAGCCCTGTTCATACCATCCCTCTCTATGGTTTTGGGCCCTGTGTATGTCTTCCCCAGGACTGATGACGCTTCCCCTCTGGCTTTAGTGTTACTGCTCTTTTATGTTTCTCCTCATACTTTTCTCTGCTTATCCTTTCTCTGTCTCCTTGCAGGCTCCCTTTCTTCTGCAAGTCCTCACTGTTGACAGTTTTCAAGGGTTCCATCTGCTCATTGCTATTCTTGGTGCCATATTCTTAAAAAGCATTATGGAGATATAATTCATGTACCACATAACTCTTGCATTTAAAGTGTGCAATTCAGTGGTTTTTAATATTTTTAAAGATATGTACAACTATCACCACCATCAATTCTAGAGCATTTTTATCATTTCAAAAAGAAATTTCATAACCTTCAGCTATCACCTTTTATTTGCCCATTTCTTCCAACTCTGAACCCTTGCTAATCTACTTTCTGTTTCTACAAATTCACCTATTCTTCACATTTTACACAAATAGAATTATACGATATGTGGCTTTTTGCAATTGGCTTTTTCACTTAGCACAATGTTTCAAAGTTCATATATGTTGTAGCATCAATATTCATTAATTTTGTCATTAAACAATATCACACTTATGGATGTACAACATTTTATTCATTTGTTAGTCAATGTGAATCTAGATTCCTCTCACCTTTTGGCTATTAAGAATGATACCACTATGAACATTCATGTACAAGTTTATGTGTGGACATCAGTTTTTGTTTATCTTGAATGTATACCTATCAGTGGCATTCCTGACCCTCATTCATTTCTAAAGTATTATTGATGGCATCTATGCAAGTTCATTTATTAGGCTGAAACTCTAATTCAGATTCCTTCCCACCACAAGTATCAGTCATACAACCACACGCCTAATGAATTCCCATCTGACACCCAGTAAACAGCTTCAAAGACAACATATTTCACACTGAGCTCACCTTCCTCTCAAAATTGCTTTACCCCCCTGGACGTACATACCTCTGTTCATGTCGCCCAATACACCAAGTTATTTTAGTTGCTTCCCCCCTCTTCCTCCCTATTCATATTCAGTACACACTATATCCTGCCAATCTATCTTCCATACTTTCTGAAATCCTGTCCTCTCAATTTCCCACATCATCAGTTCTACATTACAAAAGTTGATGTGGTTTTCTTGCCTTTGATTTTGTCATTCCCTAATACAAACTTCGTAACTGTGGCCTTGCCAAAACTTAAATGTGAACCTGCCCCTCTCCTACTCATACATATCAATACCTCAGCACTACCTACAGAATTAAGGCTAAGCTCCCGTAGCATGATGCCCTCCCATCTCTTGCCGCTCTGTGTGACGGCTAAGCTTCTGATTTGCACTGTCCTGCTTCTACTTTATGTCTATTTATGAAAACTGTTTTCTGCCTGCAATGTCCGTTTCTTTCTCCCTTTACCATCTACTGCCCACCCCTCCCCTGACTTTGTCTGGGTACTTGATATTCATCTTTTAGGATCCATGGACCCTTAACTAGGTATCTCTTCATTACTCCCTCCTCTCTGCCTCCCAAGCAGAGCCCACTACCCTTCCTTTGTGTTCCCATAATGACCAAGACTATTTTTATCAACACATTTATATTATACTTGTTTCCCACTGACTGGGAGATTTCTGAGAACATTGACACTATTTTATTCCCAGCATGTAGAATAGTAGCTGTTATATATTTGCTAAATTAATAACATGTGTCCATACTTCCGGTCACTATAATAACCCAACCCACATATATATAAATATATAAATATAAATAATGTGTAAATATAAATACAAATGTAAATACAAATAGAAATATAAATTATATATATATTTAGTGCTTTGGTCCACAGTGTTAAATTCTTCCTTTTACCTAAGTGTATATTTTCTTTAACTCACAGTTCTTAACTCCTCCATTTCCCAAAACATTTTACTTTACATAACATCTTATTATGCGCTCTCTTCCATTATTAGTGGTGTTGGGGAAGGCAAGAGCTTATTACCAATAAAAAATATATACCAAGAACAAATATTGAAACAAATTTTAGAAGTTCCAAAATGAAACTGCTAAATTTTTTTACAAAATAAGAACCTAAACAGACTGAACTGTTTTCCAGTTATAACTCACAGAAGTCTACCTCCTAACACGCCTCAGTTTTCTCTGAGATTGCAACTTAACATAATTTAGCCAAGAAAATAAATTATGCAGATTTTTTAGTATGTAAATTGTAAAAAGTATGATAACCTTAAGCAAATATATGGAGCTCTAGAATGTTTAGCTCATTTATACTGTTTGAAAGCATGTTTTTAGTTAACTGTTACATTATTTGCTAAAACTAAATTATCACTGAAACAGGGCTAATGGAAAGTACACTGAGCCAGGAAAAAAGCAGACCTGTGTTCTGGCCTCGTCTATGAATCTAAACTACAGAGTCAATGCAAAAATTTTCCATTGCTCATATCCTTGCAAAACTGGTCTCTACCAGAGAAGATTCTACTCTCATTTCTGCAAAATGGTTCACAGACTTTAATGAACTAAATGATTACATGAAAATATGTAATTACCTCCTATAACTTTAATCATTTAATAATAGAAATGCCTCTTAATTCTTAATATAGAAAGGCCATAATTTCAACATTAAAAAAACCATATATTTAATTTTATGAAAAGTTTATATGTTGTTATTATTTTTCTCATTTTTCCTCAGACAACATTATAGATTACTAATTTATGCCAATTATATAAAGAATTGAGGGTTTGCTAAATACCATGTATACTTAAATATCAAGTCCAAACCCTAATTATTTTAAAACTTATTTTTAAGTAATAAATAACAGAAAAGATAGGAACTCTCATTTCTAAAAATCTAAGGTAGAGAATAGTAAATTAATAACATATTTTAGTTTTCAGTACATGTCAAACCATTTCTTTATTTCAGATTGACTTTCCAGCTACTGAGTGGGAGCACGTGAAACCTGATTTTGAAGATAATAGAAGTAATGCTGAGGAACCACCGAAAGAGTGTTTAAAACATATCGCCAAACTTTCACAGAAACAGTCTCCCTTACTGTAAGTGACCAGGTCTCGTCAGTCAGGGTTGCTGGCTTGTCGTGACACCATCAGTCACACTGGATGTATTCAAAACTTTAAAGAGTGAAAAAAAATAAGAAGAGTGAACCTTTCTTTCTTTCAGTTACTAAAGTGACACCTGTAGGTAATCAATCCATGTATAGGAGCTAAATTAGTAGTTTTGCATGTCTTTTATTTTGCCTGTGGTATTAAGCAACTTTAACTTTAGTCAAAGAAAGATGGGAAATTATTCAGTTCAAACAAAAAAGCGGAGAGTGATTCAATATATATCAGCATTTAACATGGGTAAACCATTGCTTAACCATCATTAGAGTGCATATAAAGTTGTTTTAGTAAGCAGCAAAAAGCAAAATTTTATTGTCTTAGCAGATTTTTAAATTACATAAGTAAATCATGTTTTAATATCACTAAACTATTGATTAAGAGTCCTTTCATTTTGTCAAACAGTAATTCTCTGAATAAAACCAAAGTCCCTGGAAGAACTATAACCGAATTATGAACTTTGTACTTATAACTTAGCAATATCTAAGCTACAACTGGCTGTGTTCAATAATAACATACCAAAAACATAATACTGAGAAAGTAGTTCTTTACATACAGACTGTGATAAACATATAACATGATAAAGCATTTTATTCCAAGAATGAGAAATAATTTAAAGGTTTTGAACAGGGGAGTCAGGTAATCTTAGTGATCTTTTTAAGTAATCCCTTTGACCACAATCTGAAGAATAGACTGGGAAGGAAGTAAGAGTATCAGCAAGCAGGACCCCAAACAGGTTAATGCGATATTTTAGGTAGGAGGTCATGGTGACTATAACTAAGGTGAGGGCAGTGGACATTGGAAGAAATAGTTCAACTTGGGAGGTATACTTGGAGGTTGAGGAGATGTGACTTGATGATTAATAGTAATTAGGGGGTAAGCCAATTGGGAAACAAAGGAATCAATACAAGTCCATGAAGAATCCAAGTTATTGAACGGATCAATGAGGCAGATGTTAGAGTCATTTTCTGGAGAATGAATAAGTTTGAACTGTTCAAAACTGAATTATTGATTGTGATCAAGAGCTCTGTTTTGGATAATCTTGTTACTTCCCTGCTTTCTAATTTCAAGTTATCTTGTGTTCTCCTCATTCACTTCAAGACAGTGACATTAGTCCCCTTCGTATGTTTCAAATGTGCTAGTTCTTTTCCCATGTGAAGAGCTTTTTATCTGATTTTTCCTCTACTGGAAATACTCCTTTCTCAGTTCTTCATATGACTGAATCATCTCACCTTGTAAGTCTCCACTGAAGTGTAATCTTCTCAAAGATACACTAATATATTCAACATAAGATATTTTCCAAAACATTATACTAAGTGAAAAAGCTATAAAAAAGAGAGTATTCACTCTGATTCCATCTGTATGAAGTTCTAAAACAAGGGATATTAATATAGAGTGCAGGGAATCATACCAGTGTTAGCCTCTGGCGGCATGAAAATACTGTTTTATATCTTCATAGGATTTTGGTTTTACCCAATATAAGCACCTACCAAAATATATTGAACTGAATTTGTGCATTTCTTTTTATGTGAATTATGCTTCAATAAAAGAAATTAATGGAAAGAATATTATTCAGGACTGCGTAAAAAGTAAATTTAATTAGAATAAAATAGTGTTAGTAATTTGGTAAAATTTTGTTACATATTTTTTCTTTTGAAGGCTTTTGAGTAGAGAAGATAGTGACAAAACAGGGAAGGAAACCAGATATACCTTAAAAACTACCTATAATACAATTCTTTCATTTTGCAGATTGAGATGGCTTTAAAAGAAGTTGTAGATGTTTTACACACTCATCTACTGATGAACCTTAAACTGCTTCCATATAATGCTGCAATGAACATAGCAGTTATTATGTTCTTTAGAATTTGTGTTTTAGGTTTCTTCAGATATATTTACAGAAGAGGGACCACTGGATCAAAAGGCAGATTCATTTTTAATTTTTTGAGGTATCTCAGATGAGTGGATAAAACAACTATGAAACACCTACACAATGGAGTAATACTCAGACATAAAAAAGAGAAAACTTTACCCTTTGCAACAGTATGGATGGACCTGGAGAACATTGTGCTAAGTAAAATTAGCCAATCAGACAAAAATAATGACCACAGGGTTTCACTCATCTGTGGAATCCAATGAACAAACTGACCTAACTAGTAAAATAGAGATAGATTCATAGAGAGCAGGATGACAGCTAGGTGGTGGTAGGGTGGTGAGGGGAGGTTAGGAGGTGGAGGGATTGTGCAGAAAGGAAGAAGGACTCATGGACACAGACAACAGCGTGGTGATTGCAGGGGTGGGAGGGCATAAAGAGACTAAATGGTAATGAAAAAAAGTACAACGAAATATTTTTTAAAAGAATACAATGGGAAAACAAGCTGTCTGCAACCCAGAAGAGGGCCCTCACCAGAGCTTGATCATGCTGAAGCCCTGTTCTCAGACTTCCAGAACTATGAGACAAATATTTCTGTTTTATGCAAGGCGAGGAAAGAAAGAAAGAAAGAAAGAAAGAAAGAAAGAAAGAAAGAAAGAAAGAAAGAAAGAAAGAAAGAAAGAAAGAAAGAAAGAAAGAAACTATAGAGAAATATTGACTTTTAGTGTATTTAATATTTCTTAGTGCCATCCTTGGGAGTTTTAGCTAATTTGAGCTGAGCACCCTAGTGTCCATTTGGAGGAGACAGTATTCAAAGGCTGCCATTGTCACAGGAGAAGCGCTGTTCTTCAGCTGCACTCTGGTTCTGAATTCTGCAGGCAAATGAGCAAAACATAATCAACTACCAGTGACTCAAGAGCCCTAGTGCTAGATTTAGATCTTCTGTTTGGGACCACTCTTCAGGGGGAAATTCTTGGACACTTAAGGAAGCTCTATTCACTGGCATTTAACTCCAAACTCCCAGTGAACTCAGAATTTAAAGCCAGAGTCAAGGGATGAATTGAGATCTTTGTTTTTGAAATCTAGACCAAACAATTTTCTGAACTCTGATGAAAATTGCTTTGAGGTGAAGGAATTCATCTTTAAAAAATACCATTTCTTCACAGGCCCACTTGGGTCTAAGTTAATTTTTTTTAAGTAAATGCTTGCTTACCTCTCTTCTAAGTAATACATCTTGCTGGATTCAGATAAATTTTGTCTGCCCTAAAAGAGATAGAAATTTTGGCCACTAAAATAACATTTTTGAAAAAGAGGCAAGGATAAATAAAAAGTAAAGAATGTGAATTATCTGAAATAAATTTTTATTTTTATTTTTGAAATTTTTTTCTATAAAAGAACACAGTTAGTGGGAAATGAGCTGGTAAAATAACCTTTCAAACCATTCCAAGAAGATAAAGAATGTGTTTTCCAAAATAAACTAAAATGGAACTTTAAAAACTAGAGTAAGATTTTATACTGTGTGTTTATAGCAATGTTTGTTAGTATAGAAACCTCCAGTAAATTATAGTTTCCAATCTGGTTTTGCAGACTGTCTGAAGAAAAGAGAAGATACTTATGGTTTTATCGCTTCTACTGTGATAATGCCAACTGCTCCCTCCCTTTGGTCCTGGGCAGTGCCCCCGGGTGGGATGAAAGAACCGTTTCAGAAATGCACACCATTTTGAGAAGATGGAAATTTTCTCACCCTTTAGAGGCACTTGGACTTTTGACTTCCAGGTAAGAATTATGTAACAAGCAAGATACTACTGATAAGAAAAATTTGTTTGAAGAGAAAATAATATAGGACTATATGATGAATTCAATAGATACTCTGTTTTTTCCCAATTTAAATAGCTATGGATATTAAATTTTGCTAATTGTAAACATGAGTACAAAGTTTAAACAAATCTAAGCTGTAATTGTGTCTTCTGTATTAACCTTCAAGTTATTGAACTTAAGAAGTATAGCTTCGCCCTGGCTGGTTGTAGCTCAGTGGATTGAGCGTGGGCCTGCGAACCAGAGTACTGCAGTTCGATTCCCACGACGGGCACATACCTGGGTTGCAGGCCAGTTCCCAGCAGCGGACACATGAGAGGCAACCACACATTGATATTTTTCTCCCTTTCTCCTTCCCTTCCTCTCTAAAGATAAATAAATAAAATCTTAAAAAAAAAAAGGATAGCTTCTTAAATGAAAATAGCCGTATTGTTTTTACAGAAACAACAAAATAAAATATGGAAAAATAAATTTATCTATTCCTCCCCCCTCAAAAGAAAAAAGTTCTTAAGAATTGGAATCATACCTTTTTTACTATTTACATATGCAAAGTGTGGCAAAATACCATGCTTACAGTAGCTGTACAATTAATATGCCAATTATAATGATAAAACTATCTATTATATACTCCCCAGATATTTCCTCAGGGAAAATCACTGGGTACAGCAGTGAGGATGGGGTGATGATGTCTTCTTCTAGTTAAGGAAAAGTGTGTGGGAACCTGGCTCTGGTTTGGGGAAGCAGGTCTTCCCTGGCTTTTATTTTACATTCAAAGACATGAAAATACATTTTAAATATGTCCTGATAACATCAGCTCACCAGCGTCATAAAGAAGTCTGCAATCTCTCGAGTCAGAGAAGATTTGCAGAACCCAGATCTATTCTGAATTCTCCATAGGAAGGAGAAAGGTGGGGCAGAGAGAGACACAAAGGACTCTCAAACTGATTTGTTTAGATTTGTTTAAAAATTAGTGTCATTTATGAAGCTTTTGGGGTGGGAAAGGGTTTTCTTTTCCTATTATTTATGAGTTACTAACTTCATCTCAATCCTCCAAGATCAAAATTTACTAATTTTCTTAGAATCTTACATTTTTAGTACCTCTCCCATTGAAGCTTTTACTCAGTTTCATGGTTTTTTCCATTAATAAATGTGTACACAGATGCCCACTCTTCCTTGGTAAATGACAGATAGATGACAGGTAGTTATATAGATGATAGATAAATGATTGACAGATTTGTGAGTAGGTTGGTAGGTGGTAGATGGAAAAGAAGGAAGGAAGGAGTGAAAGAAAGAAGGAAGGAAGGGGAGAAGGGATCAGGGAAAAAGGAAAGACTTTTTTGTTAGTTGAAGCTAGAGCTTTTTTCTTTATTATAAGGCTTCTCTGCAGATCCTAGAATTGACTAATGCCTGCCTAATACAGTGCTATATTACTTTATAAATTATACTTTATTGCAATTTGTTTATAAGCAACAGGTGGAACATGTGATTTTGCTCACATTGCACTAAGAGCTACTGAAGGCATAATAGATCATCTATTTTCCAAAGGCTTAATAATACCTGAAATAATTACTCAATATTTAATCACTTATTAAAATACATTATGGTCATTTGCTCCTTAGTTTAACATTTAAGTTATGTTATTTGAAGAAATAATCTATTAGCTTTCTGACCCACATTACCTAGTACAGTTTAATGAATTAATAAGAGAAGTAATGGTAGGAAAATCAATTAAGAATTGATTGATTTCATTATAATGACCCACAATTCATGCTTGTATTTCAGGACCCTTCTGGAAAAAACAGGTTCTCGTTTCTACCATATTCCTAACCTTTTTTTCCTGATTTAGGTATATAAGAAAAATCAAAATCTACAAAGAATTTTTTACTAAATTCTAGTTTTTGCTCAAGTAAGACTTAAAATATTAGCACAATTATTAATTTACCATTCCTGAACTGATTAAATAATAGGAAGTTGCTTCAACAGGTTAAGGGTAACAAGTTACAGAATAAGAGAAAATTTAGGCAAATCATATACATGATCATGGACTTGTATCCAGAATTATATATACATAATCTTACAACTCAATGATGAAAAGGTAATTTTTCAATGTTTTCGTTTTAATTTATTTTTATTTATGTATGTGTGTATATATACATATATATAACTATATATAACTATATATATATACAATTTTATTGTTGTTCAGTTACAGTTGTCTGCATTTACCCCACACCCCAGCCATCCCCATATCCTGCCCTTGCTTCCACCCCCCTTGGTTTTGTCCATGTGTCCCTTCCCTCCATTATCCCCTCTGGCTACTATCAGATTGTTCTTAATTTCAATGTCTCTGGTTATATTTGGCTTGTTTTTGTTTCGTTGATTAGATGCCACTTAAAGGTGAGATCATATGGCATTTGTCTCTCACTACCTGGCTTATTTCATATAACATAATGCTCTCCAGTTCCACCCATGCTGTCACAAAGGGTAGGAGCTCCTTCTTTTTTTCTGTTGCATAGTATTTTATTGTGTAAATATACCATAGTTTTTTAATCCACTCATTCACTGATGGGCACCTGGGTTGTTTCCAGCACTTGGCTATTGTAAGTTGTGCTGCTATGAGCACTGAGGTGCATAGGTTTCAAAAATGTATATGGAACTATAAATGACCCAGAATAACCACAGTAATTTTGAGAAAGAAGAACAAAATAGGAGGGATCACAATACCTACATCAAACTGTATTACAAGGCCACTTGTAAACAGCCTGGTACTGTCATAAGAACAGACACATAGACCAATGGAACAAAATAGAGAGCCCAGAAATCAACCCAACTCTCTACAGTCAATTAATATTGGACAAAGGGGGCAGTAAGCATAAAATGGAGTAAAAAATAGCCTCTTCAACAAATGGTTTTGGGAGATCTAGACAGCTACATGCAAAAAATGAAATTTAATCACCAATTTACACCATACACAAAAATAAATTCAAGGTGAATAAAAGATTTAAATATAAGTTGTGACACCATGGAAGTCCTAGAGGAAAACATAGGCAGGGAAATCTCAAACATTCCACATGGCAATATTTTCACTGATATGTCCCCTAGAGCAAGGGACATAAGGGAAAGAATAAACAAATGGGACCTCATCAATTTAAAAAGCTTCTGCATGGCTAAAGAAAACAGCATTAAAATGAAAAGAGAACCAACTATATGGGAAAACATATTTTCCAACAATACATCCAGTTTGATCTCCAAAACATATAAAGAACTCACGACTCCACTTTAGGAAGACAAACAACTTAATTAAAAAAATGGGCAAAAGATGAGCAGACACTTCTCCAAGGAGGACATACAGAGGGCCCAGAGACAAATGAAAAGATGCTCAGCATCACTACCATCAGAGAGATACAAATTAAAACTACAATGAGATATCTATCATTTCATACCAGTCAGAATGGCCATCATAAACAAAGCAACAAACAACAAGTGTTGGAGAGAATGTGGAGAAAAGGGAAGCCTAGTGCACTGTTGGTGAGAATGCAGACTGGCGCAGCCACCATGGAAAACAGTATGGAATTTACTCAGAAAATAATAATGGATCTGCCTTTTAACCCAGCAATTCCACTGCTAGGATTATATCCTAAGAATCCTGAAAAAAAAACAATCCAAAAGAACCTATGTACTCCAATGTTCATAGATAACTCCATTTTTAAATGGTCAAAGGACCTGAATGAATATTTCCCCTAGGAAAATGAATTGTACAATGTCCAATAAATACATAAAAAGATATTTGACATCATTAACCACTAGGGAAATGTAAATGAAAACCACAATGAGATATCACTTCACACTCAATAAAATGGCTGTAATCAAAAAGACCAGTAATAAGTGTAAGTTAAGAATATGGATAAACTGAAATTCTCATACATTGCTGATGTAAAATGTAAAATGAAAACAATTTTCAGTTCTTTAACTATTAAACATGCGTTAGCATAGTGACCCAGGAGTTCCACACTTAGTTGTGTACCCACAATAAATGGAAAGCATTTCCATTCAAACATTCATGCATGAATGTACAGAGCAGCATTATCCAGAGAGTAGAAACAGGTCAAATGGGCATCAGTTAAGGGCTGGGTAAATAAAGTGTGGTATTTCACACGACAGAATATTTTTGATAATAAAAGGAATGAATATTATATATGTTACAAAATTATGTTGAGTGAAATAGGCCAGGTGTTGAAAGACAAGTACCATATGATCTCACCTTTAACAGGAAGCTAAACAAAACAAACAAGCAAGCAGAATAAAAACAAAGACACTGAAATAGCGAACAAGGGGACAGTGACCAGAGGGGAGAGGGAAGGAAATTTAAGGGGAAAAAAGGGGAGGGATTTGGAGGAACAAATATGAAGGACACCCCTGTGTCTTTACCCTCTTAGTAGACGAGAACTAAGGGGGGTGGAAATGGGAGGGAGGTGGGGAGCATGGGGCAGGGGGGCTGGGATGGGAGAAATAGACAAAAAACTGTACTCGAAAAATAACTAAATAAAAATTAAATATATATATATATATATATAAAACAAAACCAATGAACTTTGAAAACATCATGCTAAGTGAAAGAAGCAAGTTAAAGAACATCACATATTGCATAATTTCATTTGTGAGAAGTGTCCTGAATAGACAAATCAACAGAGAGAGAAAGATTAGTGGTCACCTGCAGCCAGGGGAGGTTGGGCGGAAATGGGGAATGGTTGTAAATGGATATAAGGTTTCTTTCTTGGTTATGGTTGCACAACTCTGGGAACATGCCAAAAACTTCTGAATTGTACACTTTGAGTGCATTTATGGCATTTAAATTGCTTCTCAAGGAAGTATTAAAAATTTTTAAATAGTGATTATAAAGATAAAAACAATGAATCTTTGTATCTCTAAAGCACAATACTCTCATGAGACAACTATTTTGT